ACAGTCATGTCTAGACTAAGGTTTGCCGTAGAGTTAAGACAAAGATTATGGTCAGCCCATTCAGCATAAGTTTAAGACAGTGGCGTAGCGACTCTTACCGGCGCCCGGGGACAAACTTTCAATTTGTCGCCCCCTCGGAAACAGCCTTTCAATTTTCAAATTTTCAATTTGCACCCCTCCCCCACAAACTTTCAATTTGCACCCCCCCCCCCATATATTTTTTTTATATTTATAATGCAAAACTGCAGCTAAAATGAGATTTTAATTTGTTTTTAAAACCCATTTTGGCGCCCCCTAAGGCAGCGCCCGAGGACATTAAAACCGCCCCCCCCCTCCTCGCTACGCCTCTGGTTTAAGAGCCAGTTTAACAAGTGTTTGCAGCTTTGTAGAAGGACAGAAAAGAATCGAAAACTGTTAATGTCGCCGATGATCAAAATCACGGTGAGATAAAAATAAATACATCTACGGCCATTTTGATGAATTGTTCACCTTCACAACCAATCAGCGGCGAGGACGGAGCAAGTGGCGGCTCACGGCTCGGGAGTAATGGAGCCAAGCTGCAGCTCATTAGAGCCGTCAACCCGCGTCACGCTCGCTCGACGCCGTCTCGCGTCCTGCGTCATGGGATCGACTGCCTTTTTGTGGGAGAGTAGTCGATTACTTACTTTAGTAACCCGGGTAGTTGTCTCAATCCCAAATAACACACACATACATGCACACACACACAAATACACACACAAACATACGCATACATACACACAATCATTAAAAACCTGACAAAACAGAAATAATCAAAGTTGATACCCGAAATTATACCTCCCCCCCCCCCCCCCCCCCCAAAAATATATATGTTAAAATCTAAGGTATTCGTCAGCGCTGAAAGAAATCATTCTTATACATTTCAGAATTTCAATGCAGCGGCCCCTATTAAAGGATAACACTGTAATGGAGAAACGTTCACATTACTATATATATATATATATATATATATATATATATATATATATATATATATATATATATATATATCTGCTGCGTTCTTACTTGAGTTTATATCGGAGGATTTAAAAAACAAATCCAACTTCATGGGTGAACTAGACTTTGGTATCCGGATCTGCGGTTAATATTTGTAACAATTAAAAAATATACGAGTGTTCCAATCCTAGTGACCATTTCATACGTTTGTGGGAAAATCCGATGCGTAGTATCGAATACAGATCAAGTAGAGAAACTCTCTGCAAATCGCCCATCAACGAGTTGCTACCCCTGATAGGCCGTGTCACGGAGGACAACTCCTTCCATTCAACAAAGGGAGATAAGCGCTCTCGGCGTGATTCTCGGCCCTGGCTGCGAGTTATCGCCCGCGCAGCATCTGAGCTGTCCGTGCAATTGACAATGATATATGATTTCACGCCCGCGGAGAGTTCCGCGAGGATCGGGTGGGGGGAGGTTCTTGGCGGACGTCGAGAAGCTGTTTAACGAGGGGGGGGGGGGGGGAGTTCGGGTGGAGCAAGGGGGGGGGGGGGGGCTGGGCTGAATAATGAGTTACATCAGTCAATTGTTTAAGGCTGGCGTTAGATGTCTGGGTGCAGGTATGTTGGTACGGTTGAGGTGGAGGTATGGCAAAAGTAAAGGGTAGTAGGGAGGTGGTTATTAAGTAGCTTTAAAGTAAAGTACAAGTCTGTCATTAGGTCTAGATCTTTAATTTCTTTAGAAATAAATACAAACAATAAACTATGAACACATGAACAAATATATTTGTTCTCGACAATAACTATAATGTCATCGTTATTGTGAGGTCTAAAGGTTAAAATTACGATTAAGAGTTATCTTTCACCTAGGTTTAAGTGTGCATAGAGTATTTTTTTAAACAAAATATTTGGATACATTCCAGCTCCTGCTAAAATGACCAGCTCCCCTACTCCCAGCTCCCGCTAAAATGACCTGCTCCCTACTCCCAGCTCCCGCTAAAATGACCTGCTCCCCTACTCCCAGCTCCCGCTAAAATGACCTGCTCCCCTACTCCCAGCTCCCGCTAAAATGACCTGCTCCCCTCCTCCCAGCTCCCGCTAAAATGACCTGCTCCCCTACTCCCAGCTCCCGCTAAAATGACCTGCTCCATTACTCCCAGCTCCCACTAAAATGACCTGCTCCTCTACTCCCAGCTCCCGCTAAAATGACCTGCTCCCTACTCCCAGCTCCTGCTAAAATGACCTGCTCCCCTACTCCCAGCTCCCGCTAAAATGACCTCCTCCCCTACTCCCAGCTCCCGCTAAAATGACCTCCTCCCCTACTCCCAGCTCCATTACTGCTGGGTACTGTACTCTCTAATGACGTCGCTTTAGAATAAACTGATCTGCCTTTAAACCGTAAAGCCAACAAACTCGATAACGAAAGTGACAGGTTCGGGAATTCCCAGCCCCTGGCATAAATAAATGATGCAGCGGCCAGCCAAGACAACGTCACGTCCCATATCCGTTTAGCCGGACACTCGCTGCACGCTGGGAAAACACGGACATCAATCCCAGGTAGATGACCTTTGACACCCTGATGAGCAGGGATTGGGTGGTGACCTGGTGTCCGTGTGAACTTTGACCTCGGTAGCCAACAAAGCGTCAGTTTGATTGACTTGACCTATATCTGGCCAGTCGACTGAAGTTTGTCCATACGATCACCTTAGCGTCGCTGTCAATAAAACCCTTACACTTTTAGTGCCATTAATGGTAGGGCGTTCTTCTGTTAGCCCGAAGTCCCTAGTTCGGATCTATTACGTTGGTACATATAAGTGCGCGTGAATGCTAATGAATGTGTGTATGTATTTTGACTAAACACGTTGACAAAACGTTAAATTGACTGTTCCTTTATTTCATCAAACTGGACGCTTAAATGAACTTTATTATTATACTGAGGAAACAATAACAGCGCTTCTTAGGTTGCAAATGAAAAATAATAATTCGAAAATTTAATTCTATTTAACAGCTTTCTAGTAATTTATCAACTTCTGAAAAGCCCAACTAACCAAATCTTTTGAAGTAGGCTTATTTTTATTTCACTCATCCACTAAGTTTGGGGAGAGGGGGATTGTTCCGTGTTTTTCATTTCATAAATGTCTTTTCATTTCGCACCATAATCATCAAGGGCCATGACGGAACCTTAGCCGGTCCAAAAATGTGCGTCAGGCGAGACCACCCTTGTTTCAAAAAGCAATCAAAACACAATACATCCTTCGCGAGTATCACCGGCCCAGCGGGGATCCCCGAACGGCGTCTCCGTACGGTGCGAACTGCGGGTCTTCTCCGAACGGTAAAGAAGCCGCGAACGATCGCGAAAAATGATGACGGTTTTTTTTTTTCAATTTCCCACTGTAATACTTCTCTCTGTTGGTAGTCATCTGTTGTTTTACCACTTTCTTTTGTTTTTTTCCCAACCCTCCGTCAAAATCTATGAAGTTTCATTTACTGGGGATTATATTTCAAACTTTTAATTTTAACGACAGTATGGTCTGTTTGATGTGTAATGTGATTTAAACAGATGTCACGTGGTTGATGAGATGTGAAATGTATCTTCTATATCTATAACCGTTTATCATTTTTTAATAAGCTTGTCTAGAACAAAGTTAATTGTTTTCTTCTTCTACTGCGTTCTCAATTGTATTTCCTATAATACATAAAAGTTTTACTTGTCAACTTGTTATAACCCGTTGACTGTGATTACTTTTTTTTCTGGATTTGCTTCTAAAGCCTTTGTCCACGCAAGAACAAACTACAAGGCAGCAGTCGTTTAATTTTGTTCTCTATCCTAGATGGGTTGCTGTCCCCAGCAAACGAGCCTCATATGCCCAGGAGATTCGAACTTTGGAGTTAGCGACTATACTTTCTCCTTCCCGACTACGCAGTCCCCATTTTTGTTTTTTCTTTGGCAGAGAAAGAATTCGCTAAACGAGGCTACAACGGCCCAACTGGTTCTATGATCGAGATCAGGGGAGACGCATCATTTTTTTTTGAAGGCGGAAAATTATCCACAACTTTAAGCTTGACTGGATAATCACTAATGCTCTTAAAACCCATATTCCTGACTTCGTAAAATTATCAAATATTCAATTAGCCGAACTTAGATAGCTATTTTAAAACGTTGGTTAATTTAAGCTATGTTAGTGTTCATTAGAAATTAAATATATCCATTACCTCAAGGAATTCGCCAGAAAAAAAAAACTGTAACCAAATTCCCCCCACCACCAAATCAAAACCGCCCCCCCCCCAAAAACCCTCAGCCCCACCCCCACCCGCTCCGTCAGATGCTGTGGGGGTGAGATAAGAGGGCACTTAGTCCCGATATGACCCTTAAGTCGAGGTCGTCTCAGTGACAGCGTGTAATGGATGAGCACACTTAATGCACGTGTGTGGTGCCCCCACACACGGGGTCGTACCTGGATACTGGGATAGTTGTGGGAGGGGGGGGGGATAGATGGATGTGGGGGTGGATGTTTGGCGCTCTGTAAATATTTCAGGCCTTTTTTTTACTGTTGATATCTTGCAAACGAAACAATTCAATGTATTGATCATGTAATACATTTCTTTTAAAAAAATGAATGTGATTGGTCAGTTCTTTGTCAGTTCCGGTCAGTTCCCGGCCCCTTGCTGGACAGTTACTTGTCCAATAGAAATGTCCCGACTAGCAGAACACACAAAAAAGGGAAACTTTTATTGGAAACTTTATTAAGAACTTTTATTGAAAACTTTTATTAGGAGAGATGATTACCCACACATGGCGTCCTTCGGCGATTTGTATAAATAAACAAAAATTCACCCCCGCCCACCCTGGCATTAGTTAGAATAGATGCTTAACATAATTCCACACAGGACTGTTCTACAGTTTTATAACGAAACCTGATATCTCATTTTATAAACTATTCGACATTTTATCCAAAGCACATGCGGAATTAATAAATTAACAGATTCATAATTACCATAGCTTAATTATATTTTTTTAAATGTCTGCAGACGGATGTTTCCAACATTTCAAGTTCGACTATTCGGCCTTGACCTCAACAGTGATTACACGGTGATGATGGACTTTGTACCCGTGGACGACAAGCGGTATCGATACTCGTTCCACACCTCTAGCTGGGTGGTGGCAGGAAAGGTGAGGAACTACCTCTCACACCACACACCACACACCCCACACAACCCCGTTACTCCCGTTACACACCTCTAGTTGGGTGGTGGCAGGAAAGGTGAGGAACTACCTCTCACACCACACACCTCACCCCACACACCTCACCCCACACACCTCACACCACACCCCCACATACCTCACCCCACACACCTCTAGTTGGGTGGTAGCTGGAAAGGTGAGCAGCTACATCTCACACCACACACCACACACCTCACCCCCACATACCTCACCCCACACACCTCACCCCACACATCTCTAGCTGGGTGGTTGCTGGAAAGGTGAGGAACTACCTCTCACACCACACACTTCACCCCACACACCTCACCCCACACACCTCACACCACACACCCCACTCCACACACCTCAACCCACATACCTCTAGCTGGGTGGTGGCAGGGAAGGTGAGGAACTACCTCTCACACCACACACCTCACCCCACACAACCACGTTACTCCCCCACCACACCTCTAGCTGGGTGGTGGCAGGGAAGGTGAGGACCCACCTCTCACACCTCACCCCCTACCCCACACAACTTCGGGTTGTGGCCACCCCACACACCTTGTAACGACACCCCTCACAACCCGAATCCCAACACTCAACCTCTTCCACTCCACCCACCTCACGTGGTCTCAACCCAACATTACCAACCCCCTCCTAATAAACCCCACAACTTCTAACCCTCTCCGCCTCCTTTAATAAACCATATTTTAATATACTATTTTAAAGATATTTAACACTCACCAGCAATACACAAACACATTCATTTAGATACCTCTGAAACTGTCATTTGTACCTGTTTGCACCTGCAGTCTGACAACCCAAAATACCTGTTTACCTGTCATGCTTGCACCTGTAGTCTGACTCCCGAAATACCTATCTACCTGTCATACTTACCTGTTTACAGCTATATACCTGTTATATGTACCTGTTGTCCCCCTTTAGGCCGACCCCCACATGCCGGGGAGAATCCACGTCCACCCTGACTCAGCTGCCCGGGGCCCCCAGTGGATGAAGCAGGTCATCTCGTTCGACAAGCTCAAACTGACCAACAATCTCATGGACACTAACGGCCATGTAAGTACAAACTGACCAACAATCTCATGGACACTAACGGCCATGTAAGTACAAACTGACCAACAATCTCATGGACACTAACGGCCATGTAAGTACAAACTGACCAACAATCTCATGGACACTAACGGCCATGTAAGTACAAACTGACCAACAATCTCATGGACACTAACGGCCATGTAAGTACAAACTGACCAACATAGACACTAAAGGTCATGTAAGTACAAACTGACCAACAATCTCATGGACACTAACGGCCATGTAAGTACAAACTGACCAACATAGACACTAAAGGTCATGTAAGTACAAACTGACCAACAATCTCATGGACACTAACGGCCATGTAAGTACAAACTGACCAACAATCTTATGGACACTAACGGCCATGTAAGTACAAACTGACCAACAATCTCATGGACACTAACGGCCATGTAAGTACAAACTGACCAACAATCTCATGGACACTAACGGCCATGTAAGTACAAACTGACCAACAATCTCATGGACACTAACGGCCATGTAAGTACAAATTGACCAACAATCTCATGGACACTAACGGCCATGTAAGTACAAATTGACCAACATAGACACTAAAAGTCATGTAAGTACAAATTGACCAACATAGACACTAAAGGTCATATAAGTACAAAACTGACCAACAGACACCAATAGCCATGTAAGTCCCTCTATGTTTCTCATCAACACTTGACCAATGGTCAGTAATTAGTAAGTGTTAAGTAGTTGACCAGTGGTCATTAGTTAACAAGCCGTCATGACTTAACCAATAGTCACATTATGACAAGCCCTAAGTAGATGACCAGTGCCCATTACCTAACTAGACGTCAGAAGCTTACCATGACAGCTTGAAGAGTTATCTCTATATGCTAACTACACAGGGGGTCGGCGTGGTCGAGTCGGAAAAGCTCATGGTTGCTAAACCGAAAAATCTCGAGTTCGAACCCTCGGGCAGGTGAGGCTCGTTAGCTAGGGACAGCCGCTCCTCTAGGAGAGACAACTCCAAAATCAAGCAACTGCTGCCTTGTAGTTTGTTCTTGGTTGGACAAAGGCTATGGAGCAAATCCGAAAAGAAAAGCAGGCTGAAATCGGAGTCAATGGCCTCAATGGCGCATAACCAGTTGACACGTATCCTTAATTGTGATGGAGGCGTGGTCGAGTCGGCAAAAGCTCTTTGTTGATACATTCGAAAAAAGTCTCGAGTTCGAACCCTCTAGCAAATAAGGCTCGATCACTGCCAACACTAAAAATAAAGAATGAAGAAGTAGCTAACTACATCTAAACAATGTGACAAATTACTCTAAATACGACATACTATTTTGACACAAGTGAAGGTTAATCCCAGACTTATTATACTTTTACCAAAGATAAAATTAGATCCACTATGTCATATGATTACACAGCTTAATGTAGGTCTGCGAAACCACGGGGTAAAAATCGTTTCACGAAGTACATTGCTTTTAGCCAAGATAAACAGTTTTTGACAAAGATAAATTTAGATCTCTTAAGTCACACGATTTTAACCAATCAATGGATCACCCCTTAACCCTTTTTGTGCTTGTTGGGGCACCACAGTTGATTTCTGCCATCTGTCTCGATCGTCTGCTGGTGTGAGCGGTTCTGCAACAGGCAGCTCAATCAAATCTTTGATGTCATCCATCCAGTGACGTCTTTGCCTCCCCTTCTTCTCCCTCCTGGCACACTGCCTTGTATTGTTGTTTTTGGATAGGCGGTGGATCGTGTGACATGCCCACACCTTCTCAGCTTTCTTGTTTTGGCAATGCTCAGTAGGCAATGGCACCAATCGCACCAGTGATCAGTATTTCTTTCAAGTATCTCCGCGGGGTGGGGGGCTGTCCCGAAGCACGTCTACACCCCACCCCTCCCAACAAAAAGAATGTATATATACAATATAGTGTCGTCGTCGTCTCTTCCCCCCCCCCCCGCTCTCCCCCGAAATTTTCAAGTGACCCCCCCCCTCCATGAGAAAAAAGTCTGAAACACTGCTAGTGACTCTTTTCATGGAATTTCACAAAATTTGAGAAAGCTAAATATATATTTAAAGTTGTAAGTCTTTCCTGAATATACCCCCCCCCCTCATGATAGTGTGTCTTGAACCTTACCCCCAATCCTCAAGAAAGTGTGTTCTGGAATCCCCCCCATGACAGTGTACTGGAATCCCCCCCACCCCCGCCCCCCTCATGAAAGTGTGTCCTGGAATCCCCCCCCCCCAAATCCTCAAGAAAGTGTGTCATGGAATCCCCCGCCCCCCCCCCCCCCCCCCAAATCCTCAAGAAAGTGTCCTGGAATCCCCCCGCCCCCCCCCCCCCCCCAAATCCTCAAGAAAGTGTGTTCTGGAATTCCCCCCCCCCCATGACAGTGTCCTGGAATCCCCCCCCCCCCCCTCATGAAAGTGTGTCCTGGAATCCCCCCCCCCCCCCCTGGAATCCTGTTACGTGCCCGTGCTCAGCTGAGCTCACCCCGACAAAGTCCCTCCCCCCTGCCCTCGCGCGGCCCCTGCGTCATTCATTAGCGCCAGGAGTCGCAGATGGACGCCAGGCCAGTGGCGTCGTGTTTGTGCCGCCCGTCCCCCGCTGTTTACACTTAGTCCCGGGCCGCTGATAGGGGATACACATTGTAAACATTATAAAACAGACCAGCTGCTCGGCTTATCGGATGCCGTTTTCATAACGTCCGATACATTGTGGCTGTTTGGACCAGATTGATGGGATAAGAGGGGAAGGAGAGGGGGTAAGGGTGTGGGGGTGGGGGGTGGATGCGTCTGATATCTTTTTTTTAACAGTTATGTTTTGTTTCGTAAGTTATGAACCTTGTCTATCAACTGTTTAAATAAGATATGTAAACTTTTTTTTTTATATAGAGCTTAAATCTTAAATAGCTATTTTTATGACGATGGGGAATTTCCGTTAAGCGCAATTTCTATTGTTAACAAGCTTTGTGGGGGAAAAATTAGGTTGCTAGTTTGACGTTGATGGGAACTGCCAAAACAGTTCTTTTATGTTCCTGCGGAATGGATAATTTGTTAGGGGCAGATAAACGATGGTTGACAGGAAGTGTCTGAAAATAAGTTGTCTGACCGTTGTCAGTAGTTTAAAGGAACAGCCGGGCAATATATACGTTCAAATATTTTCTCATCAAACATTATCCAAAGTGTATGTTTCATATTATGCCGCGTTGCGGTTTAAATTTAAATTTTGGCATTTTAAAATCTGAAAGGAACAAAATTATGATGTAGAAATTACAGAGGGTTGCAAACAAATTACTTATGCTCACACATTACACCTTCTTTCCAGCAAATTCTACTTCCACAAAAGAAAATTACACACACGCTTCCTACCAAACATATTACACATTACCAAAATAAATTACACATCTAAACAAAATGCATCTTCTCGTACACAAATTACATTCTCCAAAATATATTACACATCACCAAAACTACACATCACAAAACTACACATCACCAAACTACACATCACCAAATTACACATCACCAAACTACACATCACCAAATTACACATCACCAAACTACACATCACCAAACTACACATCACCAAACTACACATCACCAAACTACACATCACCAAACTACACATCACCAAACTACACATCACCAAACTACACATCACCAAACTACACATCACCAAACTACACATCACCAAACTACACATCACCAAGCAAATTACACGTTACCAAACATATTACACATCCCAAAAACAAATTATACGTCCTCCCAAACGACACCTCCTCCTTAACCAACCCACATGGACGCTGACCCTTCTGGTCCGTCTAACCTTGTGGTCCATTTAACCTTGTGGTCCATCTAACCTTGTGGTCCATCTAACCATGTGGTCCATCTAACCTTGTGGTCCGTCTAACCTTGTGGTCCATCTAACCTTGTGGTCCATCTAACCTTGTGGTCCATCTAACCTTGTGGTCCATCTAACCTTGTGGTCCATCTAACCTTGTGGTCCAGCTAACATTGTGGTCCATCTAACCTTGTGGTCCATCTAACCTTGTGGTCCAGCTAACATTGTGGTCCATCTAACCATGTGGTCCATCTAACCTTGTGGTCCATCTAACCTTGTGGTCCATCTAACCTTGTGGTCCATCTAACCTTGTGGTCCAGCTAACCTTTTCGTCCATCTAACCTTGTGGTCCATCTACCCTTGTGGTCCATCTAACATTGTGGTCCATCTAACCTTGTGGTCCATCTAACCTTGTGGTCCATCTAACCTTGTGGTCCATCTACCCTTGTGGTCCATCTAACCTTGTGGTCCATCTAACCTTGTGGTCCATCTAACCTTGTGGTCCATCTACCCTTGTGGTCCATCTACCCTTGTGGTCCATCTAACCTTGTGGTCCATCTAACCTTGTGGTCCATCTAACCTTGTGGTCCAGCTAACCTTGTGGTCCAGCTAACCTTGTGGTCCATCTAACCTTGTGGTCCAGCTAACCTTGTGGTCCATCTAACCTTGTGGTCCATCTAACCTTGTGGTCCATCTAACCTTGTGGTCCATCTAACCTTGTGGTCCAGCTAACCTTGTGGTCCATCTAACCTTGTGGCCCAGCTAACCTTGTGGTCATCTCCCCAGATTATCCTCAACTCCATGCACAAGTACCAGCCCCGTCTGCACGTGCTATACACCCCGCCCAAGTCAGAGAACATCACTGGCACCGAGAACCATCGCACTTTCATCTTTCCTGAGACCAAGTTCATGGCCGTTACGGCCTACCAGAACCAGAGGGTGAGTGACATGAGTGTGTCAGTGTGTGTCAGCTATGTCAGTGTGTTAGTGTGTCAGTTATGTCAGTATGTCAGTTATGTCAGTTATGTTAGTATGTCAGTTATGTCAGTGTGTCAGTAATGTCAGTGTGTCAGTTATATTATTATTTCAGTTATGACAGTGATGTCAGTGTGTCAGTTATGTCAGTGTGTCAGTGGTCAATTATGTCATATTGTGTTTGTTATGCAACTTAACACCAACAACCCTCTGTACAACCACCAGATAACACAACTGAAGATTGCCAGCAACCCGTTTGCTAAAGGTTTCAGAGACTGTGATCCCAACGATTGGTAATGTTTCCTTTTTCCATCTCTTTTATCTTTTCCTACTACTTGTGTCTATGTGTTACTTCCCTTTATATTTAGTTTTCACTCTTCAACAAAACACATCGTAACCATCTTTTCACTGTAACATTTTTTTTCTTTATAAAACATCGTGACTAGATAATAACGTTTATTAATTAGTGATTATTGTCCTAATAAATAATTTCTTAATTTTCAACGAACGATAAAAGAGAGAGAAAAAATATTAAGGAAGAAATTTTTTTTTGTCGTTTGTCTTTGTTTTGTTCTTCGTTAAAAAAAAAACACAAATTTGAAACAATGCTCTATCTAATGCAAATTAAAAAGCAGAATAAAACTAAGTGCAATAATTTCAATGGACGTAAAAAACTAGAGCGGAAAAAGATCGGATAAAAGTAAGTTAAAGAGGAGCAGGAATTGAAACTGAACAGACCAGGTGTGGCTTTTCAAATGTTACCAGACCAAGTGTTCACATTATGTACTCACTGTTATCGAGACAGACAGCCGCCGGTAGAAGGATGGGGAAGGGGGGAAGTCTAATGGAAGGGAAGTTTCGGGGGGGGGGGGGGGAAGAGTGTAGGTAGGGGGTCTGGGGGCGGTGGTTTTTATTTCATGTGCAACAGGCGTCTGCAGTGGTTCTAATTCTAATGTCAGATCTCTGGTATACCCCAATCATTAAAACAATACTTGGGGTACATAATACTTTTTTTTTTTTTTTTTTGTTTGATTAACTTGGATTGTGAAATGAAATAGAAACGCATTTTTAAAAAAACAATAAATTATCGCTGTAAGCTTTATTAACATAGGGTGCGGTTTAATACGGATACGAGGGCTTTCTATATGAAAACCGTGAAGTGAAAACATAGCACTTGATTTTATCAGTGTGATGTTTCGCCGTTTTTAAGTTATTGCTCTAAGATTATCCTTAGAAGCTAGAAACAATTGTAAACGTGGTTCGCATTGTAGCCACATCTACCATGTACTAGCAATATGTTGTTCGCTTTCTTTAAGTTTTTTATGAGTCTGTTCAAGTTCATCAGTATTGTAAACATGGTTCGCATTGTACCCACATGTACCATGTAAAAGCAGTGTGATTGTTCGTCTTATTTATGTTGTTTTATTAGAGTCTGTTTATGTTCATCAACATTGTAATCATGGTTCGCATTGTACCCACATCCACCAACATTGTAATCATGGTTCGCATTCTACCCACAGCATGGCGGAGCTACTCCAGATTAGTTCCGGGTGCTCGACACGCCCACGCCCCCAACACAGACCAAACTCATTTCAGCTGCTGGGGGTGTCCAGGAAGAGAGAGGGAGAAAAGGGTGAGTCCATGTGCTTGTTTAGGGAGGATAGGAGGACGAATAATGATGGGGTGGCGACTGGCGAGTCTGAGGGGTGGCGACGTGGGGGGGGGGGGCGGTATTTTTAGGCATATGGGGTGTCGTGATAGATTTTAGTGTGTGGTTACCTGGGGGCGGGGGTTTTGATGGGATTACTAGGGATGGGGTCTACAAAAGTGATGACCACATTATCCGTTCTCGTTAGAGGTCAGAGTAACAGATCAACTCTACTTCACCTAGTATTTAGTATTTGAAATTAGTGTTTAACATTTTTAAATTTAAATCTAGTGTCAGAATACGACTGTACACTTAAACATACATGTATAAAACAAAAGGGTCATTGCTAAGATGTATATAGATCTACAGTTGCAAGCGTTTATTTAGACACAATTGTACACAGTTACACGCGTTAATATAGACACAATAGTACACAATTGAATGCGTTTCTATAGACACAATTGTACAAAGTTGCAAGAGTTTATTTAGACACAAGTGTACATTCTTTTCAAATCTTTATTATTATGTTTTCAGATCAAAGTCAAGACGAGTACCGAGGTCTTCTGGCAAGCTCCACGCCCCCACTCACGCCCATGACCGCCATCCCGCCCATGGGGAGCATGGCCGGCATGACGATGCTGAATAACCCCCTGCAAACCGGGCGCTCCCCCAACCTCTACGCCGACTGCTACAGCTATCCCCCCTACGCCGATCCTTACATGGCCTCGTCCAAAGCGCGACCTTCACCTTACGGTTGCCCAGTCGACTACGCCACATACTCTCAAAACATGAAAGGGATTTATTCTCCGCCAAGAACGAACAATTTTGCATACGGATATGACGCACGATGATTATGAATGACTCACTTCATCAACATGGATATCCATTTTTCAGTTTCTATTTATAGCTTCAAACCGACATGACTTACTTTGATGACCTACTTTAATCTACGAAAAGTTGGTCATCCCTTTTTTGCCTTTCTGGAATTTTTACGCTTCAAATTACGTCAAATAATAACTAATTGTGACAATGGACGATAAAAACTATTTTTTGCTCAATATTTGCTTTGGAACTCACGGAATTCATTAATTATTTTTTAATTAAAACAATGTTTATTAATTATATTTGTTTGAAAACGGAAAGTATGTTTCTCTATATAGACCTACATAGGGCGGTGACAATGAGCAATCCACTTTGAAACTGTAAGCGCTGTGTTCAATTTCAGACTGCTTCACACTGCACTGTGGTAAAGACTGATCACACATTGTGCTAGCTATACTATATCTTGATGTACTGTATGGTGTATCATGCCATCCAACTATTTTTTCCATATCCCTTTAATAAATTGTATTTTTTTTTTCAATCCATTAGTAGACATATGTGGTTGTTACCATTTAGACAATACCTATTTGTAGTTAAAAAACTAATCGTAAAAATATTTCAGCTGTGTATATCATTCAAAACTAGCCACAAAAATATGCTTTTCTTTGCAAATTTCAGTGAAGTCCAGTATTACAAAATCATGTTTGTACGTACACATCTATAAAATTATGTTGGCTATAAAAATGTACAAGTTCTTGTACACCCAGCTAAACCAGTTTGTGTACACCCCTCCCTGCCCCTACCCATAACTTAACCTTGCTTAAGCCGCTGCCCCCCCCCCCCCTCCACCATGCGCTTGATGCCCGGTTGTTTAGAAGTTAAAATAAAAGATAAACCATTTCAACAAGGCCATCCTTTCTCCGCCCTCGTTCATTTACCTTACAGAAACAAATTCACAACTTGTTGCTTTGAATTATGTGATTTCAACCGGCGTTTTGAGGCTAGAAAACTATATTTTGAATGGCTTTTAAGAGGTGTAAATTAAAGTGTAAAATAAAGCTTAAATTTAAGTTAAATGGCTTTTTAAAGACAAAAACTTATTTTGTTTTTAAATAGCTTTTTGAAGGCTGAAAAATTCAAAGCTTATATAAAACTACTACACGTTTTAAAAAAAGAAAAAAAGAAAGCTGTTTTTAGAGAATGTAAGACTAAAAATTTGTAACAGTTTTAAATGACTAAAATTTAAAAAAAAACTTTTTAAAAAGACTAAAATAAGTCTTTTAAAAAGCGTGGAATGTTTTTTTTTTTACGGTTTAAAGTCTGTAAAATTTAAAGTTTTCTTTATTTTGTTTTACAGTAATTAAAATTGAAACCAAATCTGGCTTTTTACTGAGTGTAGAATTTTAAATGTTTAATCGCTTCACTAGGACTTTACTGTGATAGTGAAAATAAAACTAATATTTCGTCATTATTTGACCAATCTTTATAAATACCATTTTCTCAATACCTTAACCACTTTCGAAATGGAAAAAGTTTTAAGCATGCAGTGGTGGACTTTTATTTCCATAAACTAAATCAATCATTACATTTACCTTACCCTATTTTAATTTTTATCGTTCCCTACCCCATTCCTAAGTTTTAAAATCGTGAGTCGTTCAAAATTGACTTAACACACATAGGGGTGGAGGGGTTGGAGTCGTTCAAAATTGACTTAACACACATAGGGGTGGAGGGGTTGGAGTCGTTCAAAATTGACTTAACACACATAGGGGTGGAGGGGTTGGAGTCGTTCAAAACACATAGGGGTGGAGGGGTTGGAGTCGTTCAAAACACATAGGGGTGGAGGGGTTGGAGTCGTTCAAAATTGACTTAACACACATAGGGGTGGAGGGCGTTGGAGTCATTCAAAATTGACTTAACACACATAGGGGTGGAGGGGTTGGAGTCGTTCAAAATTGACTTAACACACATAGGGGTGGAGGGGTTGGAGTCGTTCAAAATTGACTTAACACACATAGGGGTGGAGGGGTTGGAGTCGTTCAAAACACATAGGGGTGGAGGGGTTGGAGTCGTTCAAAATTGACTTAACACACATAGGGGTGGAGGGGGTTGGAGTCGTTCAAAATTGACTTAACACACATAGGGGTGGAGGGGTTGGAGTCGTTCAAAATTGACTTAACACACATAGGGGTGGAGGGGTTGGAGTCGTTCAAAATTGACTTAACACACATAGGGGTGGAGGGGTTGGAGTCGTTCAAAATTGACTTAAAACACATAGGGGTGGAGGGGTTGGAGTCGTTCAAAATTGACTTAACACACATAGGGGTGGAGGGGTTGGAGTCGTTCAAAATTGACTTAACACACATAGGGGTGGAGGGGTTGGAGTCGTTCAAAATTGACTTAAAACACATAGGGGTGGAGGGGTTGGAGTCGTTCAAAATTGACTTAACACACATAGGGGTGGAGGGGTTGGAGTCGTTCAAAATTGACTTAAAACACATAGGGGTGGAGGGGTTGGAGTCGTTCAAAATTGACTTAAAACACATAGGGGTGGAGGGGTTGGAGTCGTTTAAAATTGACTTAAAACACATAGGGGTGGAGGGGTTGGAGTCGTTCAAAATTGACTTAATCATAAACAGGAATGACGTTTTTATGGACGACCCCCTTTCAGAATGTATAATAAAATTATTTTAAAGATCCTTACTATAATTAATAATTTGACGTAAGATTGTTTTTGTTCTTGATTGTCTTTGCATCTCACCTGAGCTCCATGTTCAAATGAAGATATAGATGTACATAATCCTTACTTACTTATAATATCGCACCTCAGATCAAATTCAGGGGAACCTACTCCCTAAATAAGGGAACTAACTCTCGTTTGTTGTGTATATATTGATATCAAACTGCCTTTTAATTTTGTGCCTTACAGATGCAATTTTTCAACTATTTTCTTTTTTTAAATAATTCAATTTTTTATGCATCATTTTAATATTTAAATCATTTTTAAAAAGATTTTTCATTAGTATTTTTCAAATGTTATGTAATTATGTTGTTACATTTTATTTGAAGATTGGTGCGTCTGTTGCATGGGTGGATGGGATGACGATAGGTTGATGAGAAGCAGAGTTTCTTCCAGGCATCTCTTCGGGGGGGCAAAGCCCCCCCGAAAATTTTTTACCGCCCCCCCCCCGAACGAAATGAAATTTATATAATTTATATAGAAAATATATACTTTTAACAGTGTCCGCCCCCCCGAAGAAAGTTTACCGCCCCCCCCCCCCCCCCCCGAAGATTTCAAGTGCCCCCCCGGAGAAAAAAGTCTGGAAGAAACACTGATGAGAAGGAGGTTTGTGTGTGTACGTGTCTGTGTGGAGAGGTAGTAATCGAGGTGGAAGGTGTGCTTACAGTGGACATATCTCTGAAACTCTAGAAAATTCGGCCACTAGACAATAAAAATAGTTGAACTTCGTCTAATGGCTGCTCGGTTGGTCATAACTCTGCATCATTTTTAATACACGCCTAAAATAGTGAATCAGATTCTTGAAGATAGCCGAACGTGTGTTTACAGCGTATCTTGTCTGGATTCTAGTATTTAGTTGTATGTCAGTGTATTGATGGCCCAGTCCTACGAAGTCCGTGCATGGATTATGTTGATGGCCAGCAAAGAAATTGTGAGGAGAAAACGTTGGCATTGCGTGTGAGAAAAATCTGGAGTATTTTTGTTGGTCATACTAAACACGTCGCTAGGCCAATTGGAATAAGCTGATAGTTAAAATAATTAATTAGTTCTAGCTTCAATGTTTAATATTTTAGTTCGCGACTAAAATATAAAAATGTTTTTTTTTGTCAGGATTTTCAAATGTTTTTACATTTTTAAAGAAAATAAATTATTTTAAAATATTTGTTTATTTATTTATTTTTTATCATTTCATTAAATATGCATGTTTGGTACAAAAGTTTCCTGATCATCGTTAAAGGGCTGAAAAGTGTCAGATCATTATAGTGAGATGGATGAAACATTAATTATATTATAATATTTAATTATTTTATAATATAATTTTTGTTTAAAATTGCTTTAGTAGTCCAAAGGATTGTGCCACTTGACGCTACCATTTTTATTTTTTTACAATGCCCATGTTTAGGTCCTAAGTAGTATGTCTCAACAGAACCAAACATATTGACCATTCTTTCGTGGATCTGGTCACGTGTTAGGCATATATCATCTGTGTATGAGATCCCTGAAGTCTGCGCTAACTCGTTTATACGGGATAGGGTTAAAAGCGTCTAAAAATTGCGTGACGTCATATACAGATAATGGAATGGTGTGGCCTAACGGTAGAGCGCTAGACTGCTAACCCGAAAGTCTCGAGGTCGAATCCGGGTTCAAGTCAGTAGAACGTCCAAGCCGCTCTGATGGTTTCCTAAATTAAAAGCGGCTGGGCATAGTGCTGGCCACACTTTTCCTTCATATTCCTGCTAGGTCACAGAAACAGGTGAACTCTACTTCACTTGCCCCGTAGACCGTAAGATTCGAAAAGGGAACTTAACTCGATTACTTTTATGTATAGATAGACTGACATTCACTTGCCAATGCAGCACCCCCCCCCCCCTACATAACCCACAGATGTAGGACAGAGGTGTCAGTTACACAAGGTAGGCTAATGTCAAGGCCGGCACGACGATGTGGTGGTATAGCCGGCGACAGTCAGCAGACTATCAAATGACCTCGACCTTTAACGGACTGCTTGTTTATCCTACACGCGAGAAACTGTTCAGAGGGAACCCGAAATGTTTTGCAACTGGTCAGAGGGAACCCGAAATGTTTTGCAACTGTCGGATCCCACACCGATCTTGTCGCCTGCTTGTTGTTGCAGGTTGACGTCTGCTAGTGAGACCTACCCACGCTGGGGTATGATGGGTAGCTAACCGTGTCTGATCCTGCGGACATTTTGTTTTCAGTAAACAAAGAGGGAGGTCAGCGCGCTGGGGTGGAGATGAGGGGTGGGTAAATGACGGTCAGAAGTGGGAAAACTGTTTAGATGTGTGATGTAAGGCCACGATGTGTGGGAGTGGGGAGGTTGGGGTGTGAGGGAGGGTGGGGTGGAGATGAGGGGTGGGTAAATGACGGTCAGAAGTGGGAAAACTTTATATGTGTGATGTAAGGCCACGATGTGCGGGTGTGGGGGAGGGTGGGGTCCCTGTATGACTGTCATGGGTAGAAGCTCGAGGTGCTAAAACTAGAAGATAAACTTCTGTTAAACAAAACAAAGTCTAGAGACCCTAGGTACAGATGCATCAAAGCAGAGGTTTTTTTTCCAGACATGTTTTTTTCTCCGGGGAGGGGGTGGGGGAAATATACGGGTGCGGACTCTGGTTACAATATATATTTTCTACATAAGCAGTGCAATTCCCCCCCCCCCCCACTCCCTGAATGAAACTGTATAAAGGGTATTTGTATACCTGAAATTGCAGATGCTGAGGCTCTGAAAATTGCTACACCTCCCTTCGATTCCACAATTGGTTTGGTACAACAAATATTTAGGCCCTATCTAGATTGTATTTCAGTACTAGACTAGGACAAAAAACAAACAACATTGGTGACATATTTTTTTCTGGGGAGGGGACATTTGAAACTTTCAAACTTTCGGGGGGGGGGGCACTTAAATTTCCTAGGAGTGGCTAACACTGTTAATATATATATATATATATATATATATATATATATATATATATATATATATATATATATATATATATATATATATATATATATATATATATAAATATATATATATATATAAATATATATATATATATATATATATATATATATATATATATATATATATATATATATATATTTCGTCCCCGGGGTAACACTCCCCCCTCCCCCCCCCCCCTCTCATCCGAGAGGATGCGTGAAAGAAACTCTGCTCACCTTAGCTACACCACAGCCGACTCGTTGTTCAACAACTCCAAGCCGCGATTTTCTCCCACGATACTTCCCTTACGATACCACGCGCTGAAACAACGCGGTGCGCAGACTCCGCGACAAAAAGTTGGCGGGAACATCATTTCGGCCACGGATCTGGCCTATCGTCTGTCCTGTTTATATTTTCACGTCTGCCGCGGGAACACGCGATACTCCAGATAAATGTTAACGGCTTTTAAAAATTCGTTTAGCAGCGCCATTTCGAATGTTTATCTAAGCGACGAATCGGCGAGTATCGGAATGTAGACAGATTAAACTTATTCCTCCCTGTGTTTGAACGCCCCCCACGTAGCTGCCCGGATGATGGGAAGAGTTATGGAACCTGTTGCTACCTAGCATTTGATGGGAAGAGTTATGGAACCTGTTGCTACCTAGCATTTGATGGGAAGAGTTATGGAACCTGTTGCTACCTAGCTTTGATGGGAAGAGTTATGGAACCTGTTGCTACCTAGCATTTGATGGGAAGAGTTAAGGAACCTGTTGCTACCTAGCATTTGATGGGAAGAGTTATGGAACCTGTTGCTACCTAGCATTTGATGGGAAGAGTTATGGAACCTGTTGCTACCTAGCATTTGATGGGAAGAGTTATGGAACCTGTTGCTACCTAGCTTCAGTGCTTTATAACGTGTAGGTGTGAACTGGTGAATCTGGACTGGATAAGATGATATTGTTCTGTTTCCTAAAATACAAAAGCTGTTACTGGTTTTATCAGGGTTTCTTTCAGTCATTTTTCTCAGGGCGGTGGGGGGGGGGGGGGGCTGCGCACTTGAAATTTCAGGGGGGAATTGGAGTGGCAGGACTAAGTACCATATAATATACACCAAGACAGACTTGGAGGCGGATTCTTCTTGCAGAACTGAAGACAGCAGGAGATCAGACAAAATACAAAGTTATGGTTGAGGCCTCACGCTCAAAAGAAGATTCGATCAAGTTAGCCATTGCTGAAAGTGCTAGCTTTTGTTTAGGGCAGCATCCTGATGAATTTTCGTTGCAGTTTAGACCTTCAATATTTCTGTCATAACTAGGGTTTTGATAGGTACCAACAAACAAAATTTTTTTTTTTTAAAAAGGCCATCTGAAGTTGTTACTTGTTTTTAATTCGGTATAAAGTTACTCTTTAGAACCTGGATTTCAGCATTTAAAAGGATATTAAAGTTAAGTATTAAGATTCAGTGTTGGTTAGTGAATTCTTCTTCTTCGTTTTAATTGTTATGTTGGACAGGATTTCCTCCAACTCAATAAAGTATTACATGTCAAACTGTTATGTGCCATTTTATTTGTGGACTACAATTTCAGCCTGATTTTGTTTCTGAATTTGCTTCCTTAGCCTTTGTCTAAGCAAGAACAAAGGGTTTTGAATTATTTTATAGATATGAACAAGACTGTAATCGTCAATAAATTCAACTTAAAGCTAAAACAAAAATTTTTATGAAGAAAAGTACGAAACAAAAGACTTTCTGTTGCAAAAATAATGTTTTATCATTAGTTTTGAATAAATAAAATGTGTGTATTTACAAACGAATGCTCAGAAAATTTGACAGGTGTACTAACTAATACATTACATTGTAATGCAGAATATTCTATTTATAATGAATACAATGTTCAAAAAGAAACAAAATAGTGAAAAAATTAGTGTATTCTGTCTCCATTATTTGCTGACAAGGTTTTGTGCAAGATTTCATGATAAGCAGTTTATATCAAATTATGTAGCTTATGACAGTATAACCAGGTGATAATATTGTACCAATGACATAGTTTAGTGTCATCATATCACTTCCCCAGACTATTCTAGCTCAAGGGCTTTAAGTTTTATTTTCCTACACATTTCTATGTAATGGTGAAAATGGAATTAAGGTGAAATGGAATAGTTGAGAAGTGGCCATGAGATACAGCCCAAACTTTGTCAAAATGATGCCTTGGTGAATTTACAACATAACTGTGTAGGATATAAATCTAGAAAGAAATTTTAAAAATGTAGTAAGAGCTGCCTGGTTCTGGGGAAGTGCATGATAAGTGTCAACATATATGACATATGACATAACTGGACTTGATGGCCTCACACAATTGACATCAAATGACAAACCCATTTGGCACATTGGTTAATTAAGTACTAAATAATGCAAGGCCTTTGGTAATAGGAATCCCCCCCCCCCCCCCCCCTCACACATAAATTTGCTACAATGAACAAAAAAATCGACTAGTATCTGGTTCAATGCAGTGCCCCCCCCCCCCCCCCTACAGCTATGGCTTTGGATGTTGTATGCCAAGCATCAAAAGAAATACATTTTTTGAAATCACTCGTTGTCATGGAAACACCACACCCAGCCATACAAAAACATGTAAAAAAAAATTAGGGACGGCAGACCACAGAAAATGATCCAATAGGAAAAAGTTCTGAAATGACAGCTACACAACAAACATGACAGAAATAATGTTAGGGGTCAGGGGTCAGTCAAACTGCTACTCAATCCAGCAGGGCGAATACAGTTTCTTGATAACAAGAAATTACATTCAAATGGTAAACATGATAGTTTCAAAACTACATCAAACAAAGACTGAGCTCAGTCATACCCCTGTACAGACAATCATTCAGATCATTCACAGGAAATGTAATTTTAAGATGTATACAATCTTCTTTTGTCAATAATGTCAGGGTTTAAGTGTGTCCCAGAAAGTTCTGTTACTTAAAACTTAGCCACCAAAACTTTTAAAATACACCATGAGATGTAAATATGATACAAACCTTCAGGAAAAAATATAAGTACATCTAAGTCTAGATGTTAGTGATGTTAAATGAGGTTAATTAGGTACAGATCAATAAGAATTATTTTATTTTGTTTGAACAAATTGTGTTATTTATTGCGGAAAAGATTTTTTAGAGATTATTCTAGATTTTATTGGGGTCAATTATAGATCTATATAGAAATATTTGAATTTGGTTTGACTAAATAATCTTATTTATTAAAGATTTTATTGTCTTCAACATAAATCTTTTAAATTGAGATTACAATTTTTAATCAAGTTAAACTTAAAGAAAAAAATTTACAATTACAATCAAAATGTTAAAAATGTAGAGGGGCAAAAAAGGGAGGTAACCAGATCATTGTAAGATGAGCAAACAGAGTTATCACAGCTTGAAATATTGGGCTACAACACATCATAATGATGTGAGGCAATGAAAATATTTACAGAATTTAAAAATAAAGTTTTGAAAAATGACATGACAAGAATAAAATATAAAAATAAATGCACAATAACCCAGAATCTAAGTTTAATGTTGAGACAAAATTTTCCTGACCCCTAATGGACAATCTATTTTTGGTCATCAAGACAAGTTTTAAAACTGCAGGCACTTGTTTGCATATGGAATAATTAACTACACTTAATAATTTCAACAGCCATTAACATAATGTTTCACCTCATCATCTGTAAACAATCTGGTCCATAATGATGTTACCTGCCTTGTCACGAATTCTTATCCGACCATTTGGGAACCTGGTTTCATGCCGACCATCTGCATACACGGTTTTTATGATGCCATCAGGGAATTCTCTTCTCTGTGGATGTTTAACATCAGGTACAATGTTATGGAATGTTACATAAAACAGATATCACAATAAATTTTAGTTTAATTGTTATGGACTCATTTAGACTGGAATAATTTTCACGCTTCACCAAATTATTGTTTCCCCTCAATTTTTTTAGTACCTATACCGCAAATCGATTTATTTAAAACTCACACATAACTAATATATTAATCATATTTCAGTGCCCAACACATTAATATTGATTTAAAGTAATTATTTATTAATTGAAGTAAGAAAAAAAATTACTTAATTTTGATGGGAAAAAAATAAAGAGTAGTTTTTAAAAAAAAAAAAAAACATGTTTTTATCAGGAAATGTATAATACAAATTATTTTTCTTTAGTTCTTAATAACAGAAAACGGAACCATATCAATTTTTCTACAAAAATAATTGATTGGATTAGTATTAGAACATATACTTTAATTTTGGTTAAATTTTAACATGTATATTACATGAATGTTATATAAGCTAAAATGTTAAGGTCTGTTGTTATGTTAAACTTTTTGTGAAATGTTGTTACTTTGTTGTACCTGATATTCAGCAGTATGCACCTCCCTATCACCACTGGGGTACTCCACAGTTTTCTCCCCTTTGCTGTTGTACTGCATCACAGTGCCATCTGTCAGAATGACCTCTTGACCTCCATCAGGAAAGATGTACTTGACATCCTTAGATGGGAAGATAATCTCCACTGTTCCATCAGGGTATCTTTTTTCTACTTGACCACTGTGGTCATGGATTTAAAATTTATCTTATAATAAACGGGATACAATTTATCTAAAACATTATTCCCAGAAACAGAGTGTGTGTATATTTATATATATATGTATGTATATATATATATATATATATATATATATATATATATATAAATTTCTGTCTACACCACTGTCCAGCACTCATTTGCTGGAGATCCAACTTAAGAATATTAGAACAGCACTCATGTGCACTCACACAGTTCCACACTTAAAGATGATAAATTTCAAGACTCACTTTTTAAACTGAAAGGTTTCCAAACCATCAGGAAAAGTTGTTTGCATGATCTGGGCTTCAGCAAAGATGTAAACCTATGGGGGAGGGTAAATTAAAAATATATAATATATAATTAAAATTATATGATCAGTTCCCTCAGTCCCAGATATTATATGATCAGTTCCCTCAGTCCCAGATATTTTATAATCAGTTCCCTCAGTCCCAGATAATATCTATAAGTTCCCTCAGTCCCAGATAATATCTATAAGTTCCCTCAGTCCCAGATATTTTATAATCAGTTCCCTCAGTCCAAGATAATATCTATGATAAGTTCCCTCAGTCCCAGATATTTTATAATCAGTTCCCTCAGTCCCAGATAATGTCTATGATAAGTTCCCTCAGTCCCAAATATTTTATAATCAGTTCCCTCAGTCCCAGATAATATCTATAAGTTCCCCCAGTCCAAGATATTTTATAATCAGTTCCCTCAGTCCCAGATATTTTATAATCAGTTCCCTCAGTCCCAGATAATATCTATGATAAGTTCCCTCAGACCCAGATATTTAACCCTTTGAGCCCGCCAGGCCGGTAAACCGGCTTCAACATTAGGCATATATGTCCGAAAAGCCGGTTTTCCCGCCAGATGATCTAGCGTCATATTCCTAGCGGCCGGTATACCATCTAATTAAATATAATTAGCGGAAGACTGACTAAAACAGCGCATATGTCTTTTGAGTGCGGGATTATGATTTTTAAAATTGATTTTTAGGAAAAGTGAAAGTATTTACATTTCGTAGCAATGCCGCCGAAACGAAAAGCTGAGCCACAGCCGTCGACTTCATCACAAAAAATTGGTGCAAAAGATGAAGCAAAAGACCGAAATATCAACAAAATAAGTAGAATAACTGCATCTCAGGCAATACAACTACTTATTAATTCCGTTGAAGAAGATAATATTCCTGGTCTATATTGTGATGATAGTGATGTTGAATTTGAGACTTAACACAGTGACATTGAAATTGACAGTGACAATGAATCTGTTCAAGTGGTGCCAAGGACAAAGACTTGCAGAAACGAAAAAAACTGTTTACTGGTGCAAAACATGCGAAGTTTTTCTTTGCATCGGGTCTGGCAGTGATAACTGTTTTAAAGTTATCACACAAAAGTGGACTTCGGGCGTTGAACTAGTATGGCCAGGTATCAATAATAACAAAACAATAACTAAATGTAAATTGGTTTCTTCTATGTTCTATCAAAACAATAATTATACGTTCGTTTTACATACATTGTTCTGTTCAAACATTGTAAAAAAAAAAAAGGATTTCAGAATCTTGCTGCATTGTTGTTTGATCCTTAGTCTGGATACCAAATTTGGCTTGATTATCTCAAACGGTTCAAATAATATAGGCAAAGTTAGAAGCAGATAAGTGAAAATTGGTTTGGCCCTGGGAGCTCAGGAAATGGGAGAAATTAGGCCAGGGCTCAAAGGGTTAATGGTCAGTTCCCTTAGTCCCAGATATGTTCCTTGTACCCTAACCACGAGTTCCAAAACAATAATTTTGCTCAAACAAATGTTAAAAACATGTACAAAATTGTCCAAGTAAAGAAACATGTTAGGTCAGTCTAGACACCACAAGACAACTCACCACTCTGTGGTCTGGAAAAATCTGGCGTATATCCCCATTGGCAAGTTTACATACAATAGTCTGCCCATCAGCTGATATTTCTTTCACTGTCCCATTAGGAAAATGAATTTCTTTTGCACCATTTTTGAAAGTCTTTTCTAACTGTTAAAATATACAACAAATTTACTTACAAGTACATCTAGTAATTATCTTAAGATTTAAGTCAGTTCTGAGGAATTCAGACAAAGAACATATTTTTTTGGTGTAATAATAACGACAAACCGCAAATTGGTTAACAATCAAACATTCTCTGGAATTATTTTAAAAGTTCTTATCACATTTTTATAAAATTATAGTTTTTTGAAAATCTTTAAATGAAATTATTTATTTATTTCTGTTGTAAAAAATATCAAATTTTTTTCCTCTAATATAAATTTCCTATACTTATAGCTGGGCTTATCCTGCATTGGTCAAACTTTAAATACTGAGAAGTGGCTAACCTTGCCATCTTGGTGTCTTGTCTCTGTAAACGAATTGTCTCCCTTATCAATCACAGCCTTTTCAAGGGCGAGCAATGCAACAGACTTGTCACAGCTGTTGGCTGAATGAGATTGATGTCCTGGCATGCTGGTCACAGGGGTGGAATTGGGGAAAGTGCTGTAGAAATTGTATTGAAGTATGATTCAACTTTAAAGAACGTTACTCAATATAGATGACATATTTTTAAACAAATAACAATCTAATGAATTTTAAGTTAAATTTGAAAAAAATAATGCCACTGAAAGTTAAAATTTTTGCTTTATTCGTCATTGAACCAACTATCTTACACTAATGTTATGTTTTAAGTTTCCCTTAGTTAAAAATGAACTTACTTTTCTATCATTACAGGGACTGTGTTGGTCTGTGTTTGCATTATCTCCCCTGCAACTTTCATCTTCAATGGTGGAGGCACAATGCTGGTTTGCAGATCTGCCTTGGAACTTGTTGAGGACAGTCCACCATTTTGAGTAGATTGTGGTGTGTGACTCCTCTGATTGCTGTTAGTTTTAGAACCAGTCATAGGGGCACTAGATCCTGTGGCACTGACTGGCTTTAAAGCACCTAGAAAAATTGTGTTTGATTTTACAGTTGCATTCTACAATAGAAACTGCCCAATTTCAAATCAGCCAAATGTAAACCAGGATATGGATTTTTAAGAGGATTTTTTTTTATGGTCTATAGCTTAAAGTAAGAGATGGCATGACCTAGTGGTAGAGCGTTGGACTCTTAACCCAAAAGTCTCCAGTTCAAATCCTTGCTTAAGTTAGCTTTGATGAGTACCTAACTCACATTAGGGAAAGTAAAGGTGGCTGGGCATAGTGCTGACTACACTATTCCAGACTCTCTTCATATGCCACAGTCCAGATGGCTGAATATAGTGCTATCCCTTCATATGGTGGTGTCCCAGAAACAGATGAAGTCTACTTCACTTGCCCCATGGACAACCAGGTTCAAAAAGTGAACTTTACTTCACTGTTATAGTTCAACAGTAAGACAGCATAAAACCAGGACAAAAGCAAATGTGATCACATTTTTCGAACCAATTTTAAATGGACATGGTGGTATGCAATCATACTATCAAAAGGTTGTTTAAAGGGCTTAATGCTTTTAGGTCATAGAAAATTATAATTTTAACAGGGGAGTCGCAAAGTTCAGAATTTTTTAACTGAGTAAATTCAACCTTATTTTAAATATATTTTTCATTAAAATACCAGACACAATAAAAAATAATGAAAGTTTTCATAGGTTTACTTACAATTTTTTTTAAAAACTTGAGATCTATATTTTTTAAACAACTTCCTTAAAATAAAACACTTTCTAAAGAAAATAACTTAAGAACAAACCTGAATTAACATGGTCTTTGTGTCCTGATAAGGTGGGAGTCTTTGATCGTGGAATCTCTTTGGTGGGCGTGCTACTTCTAGGTTGACTTGAACCAGTCTGTACATAGAATAAAAAATAAATTAACCTATGAAATCAGAGATACACGCAAATCTATTAACAAACAGGTGAACCATTATAAAATAATGCTTTACTGTTGGCATTTAAACATTAGAAAAATTATTTTCAATAGAACAATCAGAATTTTCTAATTAATATGTCAAAAAACTAGCTTATTGGACAAGCAGTTGAATACATATGGGATGACGTGGCCTAGTGGTAGAGAGCTAGACTGCTAACCCGAGAGTCTTGAGTTTGAACCCGGGTTCAAATCAGTGGAATGTCCCTGAGTCCACCCAGCTGTGATGGGTTTCTAACTTACGTTAGGGAAACAAAGGTGGCTGGGAATAGTGCTGACCACACTATCTCTTCATATGCCGAAGTCAATGAATCAGATCAACTCTAATTCATCTGCCCCATGTGTCTTAGGCACGAATGGGATTAAGAAGAAGAAGTTGAGTACATAATTATTAACCTGAAAGTCAAGAGTTGTCAACAGGCCCAAGTCGTTACAATCTCCATTTGATTCACCCACCTTTGATGGTACCAGCTTTGATTTATGCAAAGTTAAAGTGGCTGATAACACTATTCCAGACTATCTCTACATATGCCACTGTCCACATGGCTGAATATAGTGCTGACTACACTCTTCCTGCATATGCTAATTCAGAGAAAGTCTACTTCACCTGCTCTGTAAATGTAACTATACCTTTAAATAAATGACTAGTTCTAATAGTTCTACATTCCACCTACTTGTCGACTGGGTTTTGACGTCAAAGTTTCACTGTATCCACTTTTGCCATTACTCAAACCCTGCGAGGGCTTTAGTGTACTCTGTGCTGCCATCCATTCCAGTCTTTTCTTCTCCAGGATACGGATTTCTTCTTTCAGCTCTCCGTTCTCCACTTCCAGCTCGGCTATTTTGTCTTTCAATCGTGTAGTGCTGGAGCTCCATCTGCTCTCTTTACGCTTCAGCTCATCTTGCAGTTCTTGTAGCTACGGCACATAGACATACGATCAAAATATTAATTACAGCTATCAGGCATAAGCAAGTTAATTCATGAAATATTTACAGCTATGATACACATTTATAAAATCCAAACTTTATTTATAGCTATCAAACATGATTTAGGTTATAAAATAATTTTAGTTATGATAGATATATACAGAATCAAAATATTATTTACAGCTATCCAAGATAATTATTTAAATTTTAAAATGATTACAGCCTTTACACACATTTATATAATCTAAACATCTCATCATGAACTTTCTTTGCTACTTTCCAAAATGGATTAGGATTATTTTATTTTAAAACTTAATTAAACTGATCAGCTGTTTTTCAAACTACTTCCTGACCTGATTGCGTAGAGTATCAATTTCTTCTCTATCTTTTTTGTCAGGCATGGAGCGAATCTTCTTCTGATAGGTGTCAAACAGTTTTCTTTCTCGCCTGAAAAAATTTGATCAATGCTGAACTAAAATCAAGGTCAGGATTGCCAATTATTATGATCCATCATAGTCTTTCATTTCTAGACACCACTGCACTACACTATTTATCTCACTATTAGAGTAATTGTTTATTAAAAGATAAAATATCAAGTGAAATTATTTAAAAACAATACAAATACCTACTTGAGTTTTTTCATTTCTTCTGCCTTGTACTCTTCAATACGTTTCAGTTCTTCCTCCTTCTCTTTTTGGAAATGCTCTATTTCCTGTTTCAACTTAGCTAGGCCCTGTGGTGAATAATATTTTTTAATTTATATTCAGAAGGTAAAATATCCACAACGATTTTGTAAATGGGCTATGACTATTATTTCTGAGAATTAACAATCCATTACAAACACATGTACTGTTTATAGTGTTATCTCTCTTGCTAAACTATTTTCGTTTGTGTTGCTCAATAGCAGAAAACCATTATGATTGAAATTAAAATCGTATTAAAAGAAATTATTGCAGTACAGCTCAGATTGTTTAATATTATTATATTTGTTTATTTGAGTAGACTGGTTGTCACCAGGGTTGACAACTCTTGTCTACACACACCAGCATTACTTACCTCCTCTCTTTCTCTGCTCAGTTTCTCCAATTTAGCGTTTTCAGATCTGAATTTTTCTATCTCTATCTCCAGGTTTTTTATCTTCTCCCTCAGGATGCTGGACTGTATGCCGTCTGTTGACTGGACAGGTTGAACTGTGGCTTGGTGGAGGGCTTGGCTTTTCTAAAGGTACATTCACAGAATCTTTAGGTACATTCACAGAATCTTTTCTATAAGTACATTCACAGAATATTTTCTCATTCACAGAATCTTTTCTATAAGTACATTCACAGAATATTTTCTCTTTCACAGAATCTTTTCTAAAATTACATTCACAGAATTTTTTCTCGGTCACAGAATCTTTTCTCATTCACAGAATCTTTTCTAAAAGTACATTCACAGAATCTTTTCTCATTCACAGAATCTTTTCTAAAAGTACATTAACAGAATCTTTTCTTATTCACAGAATCTTTTCTCAGTCACAGAATCTTTTCTCAGTCACAGAATCTTTTCTCATTCACAGAATCTTTTCTAAAAGTACATTCACAGAATCTTTTCTTATTCACAGAATCTTTTCTAAAATTACATTCACAGAATTTTTTCTCATTCACAGAATCTTTTCTAAAAGTACATTCACAGAATCTTTTCTCATTCACAGAATCTTTTCTCATTCACAGAATCTTTTCTAAAAGTACATTCACAGAATCTTTTCTAAAAGTACATTCACAGAATCTTTTCTCATTCACAGAATCTTTTCTAAAATTACATTCACAGAATCTTTTCTAAAAATACATCCAAAGAATTTATTTTTTAAATTCATTTTACCATTATTCAAAAGATTACAAAAATACATCACAAGTAACAATATTGTACTTAATTCTTTAAAAAGGGTGGTAATAATTCAATTTTTTAAAAACAATTTTAAATAACTTCTTTAACAAAAAAAAAACCAGAAAAACTTATTTAAATGTATCTTAAACATGTAGTTGTGTACATTGAGAATGACTCACAGTTTCAGCATCAGCATTGGGCTTGGGCCTGAGTTTTGGGAACAGCCTTGACACGAGTTTGGATGTAGGTGGTGTTGACACTGCTGTGGAGGCTGGTACAGCTGGTATTGTAATAAAACAACATGAAACCTTACTAACTGACACAGAAAAGCACACAGTCTTTTCAACTTTTATCACTATTTTATTAACAATAAACTAAATGACTTTTGTACAAAAAATGTTGTTGGATTTCATTACCGTTCAAAATATACTTTATTTTTAACTCAAGGGAAAAACTCCATTAGTGGTAAAAGATACTCATTGCAAACAAATAAACATTATTTCTACAGATGAATACCAATTTGATAAATTCATTTTCCACTAATGTAACTAGCTATTATATTTTTTTTTTAAATCTAAAACAATTTTCCAAACTGGAAACAGTGCTTAACAATAATAACATTCATCAAAACAACACAAGCTATTTTTATGAAGAAATTAGAAATTTCAAAGAAAGTTACTGATGATAAAAATTGAAATATAACTGTAGAAAAAAAATTATTTAAAGGTAAAAAAAAAAGATTTAGAGACTCACATTTTAAAACGGTGCCCTCTTCATCATCATCCTCATCCTCCCATGACGCCTCGTCATCAAAGACAGTCATCTGCTGGGTGACACCTGCCTTGGCTGTGGCACCAGGTGGGTTGTCACCTGGCTGCTCCTCATCTGTCTCCTCCTTCTCCGACTCGCTCGACTCCTCGTAGTGGTTGTAATCATCATCGCTGTCTTCATCGTTCCCTCCTGACTTATACCTGTCCCCATTGTAACTCTTCTCTGTAGGGTTGACTTGAGCAGGCTCTGCATGTCGAAAGTTTGTGGTGAAATGAGGCTCGTTCGAAACTAGAGGATAAGAAGAGTCTTGAGGTTCAGTGGCACCATTTTGGTTTAACAGATTAAATTGTGCGGTAGATGTACCGGTACCAAGGACAGTCCCATTTGGCATGGTGAAATATCCAGTCCCCTGATGGATCAGTCCACTAGACTGAAGTGTACCAGTTACTCCCAAACTTCCTGCTTGTGAAGATGTATTTTGATAAATTTTATCACTGGTAAACATGTTTGATACTGACTGAAATGGTAGTGAGCTCCCTTGGTTGATTTTACTGGTAGCAGTTAAAAACCCGGCCTGCATGGATAGAACTTTTAACATGGCTTGAGTATCATTGGCTGAGCTAAATTTGCTGGACATTGGTGCAATTTTTCTGGTCATTGCTTTGGTTGGAGACAGTGGTGCAGCAAGGCCTTGGGGTTCTCTCAGACCAGAAGTGGCAGGGTTGGAAGAGCTGGCGCCGCTGGTGAAGATGTGGCTAGTGTCGTCATTCTCCTCATCACTGGAACCTGTGAGTGTGACATCTGGAGACTGCTGTGAGCCAGCACCCGTATTGCTGATGTTGGCATTGGCGCTGTTGTTGCTGTTGGTGAAAGCACTGTTGCTGTTGGTGAAGGCGTTGTTGTTGTTGGTATAGGCGCTGGTGCTGTTGGTGAAGGCGCTGTTGCTGTTGGTGAAGGCGTTGTTGTTGCTGTTGGCGAAATCTTCATCATCTTGAGACTGGAGGGTTGGGTTGTTTTCCTCGACCACCTCTAACAGACGACGAGTTGCTCTGGTTTCCTCCTCCATCTCTTCCATCTTCTTTGTTTCACTCTTGGATCTCAGTTGACTCAACGCCTCCTTTTAAAACAACACAATTTTTAAAGGTAACGTTTTAATATATCAAAATATAAACTTTGGCCATAAAAAATTATTTATTTGTTAAACCGAACAACCATCTTAAGAAACTTACAGTATGTATCCGCATTTGCAATTAATTTTACATAATAACACATTATCCTTAATTCAACTAATCTTGGTGTATTTATAAGAATTTTTCCATTTATGTACACAAAAGCAGCTCACCTTTTGACCCTGTTTATTACTGTTAAACAACTTCCTGACTATGGAGGAGTTGCTACAGAAACTCATGTTGTCAACTGCATCTTCAAGTAGTTCAAACTCCGCCAGACTGTCCAGCTCAGTCTGTACGTTTTGGAAAAAATTCAATGATTTTTAGTGTAGGACTAAGCAATATAGGGAGGGAGTAATGAATGGTATGGGCTGGAAAACCAAATTTGATAGCAGCACAGGTGTAACAGTTTAAATTAGTTTAATTCAAAATAAAATGAATGTTGGAATGTCGTTGCTATTAGGTAGGTAATAAAATACTTAAAAAAAACTTTTTAAAAAACCACGTTTTTCTTGTGGACTAAAAAGTAGAAAATAAATTTTTCTTTTGTGCTTCCTCGAGCTGTGCAGGTTCTTGTGATGACTGACAAAAAACGTGGGTACGTTCACCATCAAATTTCCCGACCCATCTGCCCGACCCACGTTTTTTGTCAGTCATCACAAGAACCTGCACAGCTCGAGGAAGCACAAAAGAAAAATTTATTTTCTACTTTTTAGTCCACAAGAAAAACGTGGTTTTTTAAAAAGTTTTTTTTAAGTATTTTATTTTCTCCTTTTTAGTCCGTTGCTACACATGAAACACGTGGTTTTTAAAAAAGTGTTTATAAATACACGGACTAAAAATCTTGAGCGACCAGGATTCGAACCTGGGTTGTCGCGGCCACAACGCGAAGTACTAACCACTATACGATCACGGCCAGCGCGCTCACATCGATTGGGGCCGAAGTAACTGTATCAATAGGCCTCCAGTCTTGTCGGTATCTTTAGAAATCATGTCCTCAATTTTATGGTCCTTGGGGCGTAATTAAATTAAGCTAATTACGGTCACTAATTGCTAGTTTTTATGATTGCATCTGAAATTGTTAGGCGAAAGTAGCATGCATGCCAAATTTCAGGTCTCTAGAGCAATCAGAAGTGGGCTAATTTTCGATGTCAATTTTAACAACAAACATCCAAACAACCAAACAACCAAACAAATAAACGCGAAGCTGAGTTAAGAAAAACGTGTTAAAAAGAGGCCAGACTTTGTCATGCAATGATCTTCTTCTTCTTCTTTGTTCTTAATTTTAGTGCTGGAAAGGATCCCCCTCGAACACAATTAAGGATACTTGTCAACTGGTTATGCCCCATTGAGGACACTGACTCAGATTTCAGCCTGCTTTTCTTTTTGGATTTTGCTTCCATAGCCTTTGTCCACAAACTACAAGGCAGCAGTTGATTGTTTTAGAGTTGTCTCTCCTAGAAGAGTGGCTGTCCCCAGCTAACGAGCCTCATCTGCCCAAGGGTTCGAACTCGAGACTTCAGTTCAGCAACCCTGAGCTTTACCAACTCGACCACGCCGAACCCAATGCAATGATGAAAACAGGAAAACTACCAATTATCATCATTAATCTGGTCTCTTTGCGTTGTGATGCAACTACATTGCTCTTGTAGGTATGGTTTTGGGAGATGCCCCTGAGTTGGGTCCTTAACAACTCATCGTATTATAACTTATTTCAGTCTAGCCACTTTTTCCACTGGGGTCCCTACTAACACAGATAAGCTACCACATCTAGTATAACAGACTAACCATTCAATTTTATCAATCAAGGTAAAACAACAACATACAGTGTCATGATCACTGGCTGCTGACCGGGACTCTAGTGATGGAGATCTGTGGACACTGGACAACAGGCTTTGCTTGCTTTCACTCCCATGATCCCTCTCTGTCCTCTCAACACTAGCGCCATCTTTCTGCTGGAATTTCTGCTCCTCCAGTTTTTTACTAGCCACACTGTGAATTAAGCTCAGCTTGCCAGGTTTTTCCCCAGCTTGTGTTGGTCCAAATGTAACAGTCTTGGGACCCTGGGACAAAGAATAGCTACATTGTTATCAATTTACATATGTATTTTTGTAAATGTTTTCGCTGAGGTATTGTTAAAACTTAAAACAGATCAGAACTTAAATAGAGGAAGATTTAAGAAGTTAATTTTACAAGCTAAACAAGATATTATAAATATTTTGTTAGCTCATTTGTTTTAATATAAGTTGGTCTTTTACCTTGTTTGTTCATTAGTTAAATACAAAAAAGCTTCATTTTAAAGACAATCTGATATTATCTTACGTGGCTAAACAGGGGTATATAACTACTCTATATAACAATCAAAGTTTTATAAAGCAAGCATCAGGACTAAATTTATGGGCAACATAACATGACAACTCACACTGGTCACCACCTTCTTGTCCCCTGTCATGGTCTTTAACCTGGAACCAACAGAAAACTTCTTAAGCCCCTCCCCCTCAGTGATGGGCGGACCAGAGTTCAAACCAGGTTTTGTCTTCCCTATTTCAGCCTCCACTCTCTGTGTCTTCTGGAAGGTTTTACGGCCTGTGCCAGGTTTTTTCACAGGTTTTTTTGGGACAGAATTGAATCTGGATATTCCTTCACCTTTACGAAGAAAAGTTTTTTTCCTGTTAGTACCATCACCTGCCTCACTGCTGTATCTGACCTATGGAAAATATAGACAGCATGGAAACAATCATAACATTTCTTTAAAGTGACTATAGGTCTCAACCAGAAATATTAAAATATCCACACAGTACCAATTTTATAAATAGAATGCTAAAATTTTTCTATTTAGGTCAAATTATGTCTAGACATAAAATGTCGGGTTCAATTTTTTGACAAGGTTACTTGGCAGTTAACAGTAATAAAAGGTTGATAGTATAAATAAAATAATCATTCAATTAATGTTATTATTTACATTAAATAATACATGTTAAGTAGAAATTCCTTAAAATTGTGCTGGCCAAACAAACCCTATACATAAAGAGTGGACAATAAACAAATACTCAACCTCTATTATAATCTTAAGTGCAAGTTATACCTTGTTTAACTAACTTCTTAAGATGTGATTTATGTGATTTATGAGGCTGATGATTGAGCTATTTTTAAACGTCTACCTTTTCTCCTTCCTGCTTCAACTTTTCTTCCAGCAGTTGTTCAAAAGTTTTTGTCTCCCCTGCCCCTTTGATTGGTCTTTCATCAGGGGAGGCTACCTGCACCTAAACAAGAAGTACAATTTAAAAATGAACTCACCATTAGAATAAACAACTACAAAAATAAACAGTGAATCAAGCTACAAACCTCTTTTGCTGTGATGTTTTGATCATCATAATCATCATCACTGCTGTCTTCATCCTCCCATGATTCATTGTTTTCCTTGTTGCTGTCTGTCTGTTCTCTGTGATCACCATTCACCTCATTATCATTAAGGTACATGGCACGGGGTACAAACTTAGGGTCTAGTTTGAGTTCCTCGTGGGGTTGTCCATGAGATGAAACCTAGTACAAATACAGAATAGTGCATTGCTACATTTTTTGACATATTTGGTATCATTTTACAAAGTCTTAAAGTACTTATTGAATCAGTGACAAGACATATTTTTACCAATATCACCAACCTAACCTCAACCCTGATCAAGACTCAATCCCTAGTATAGCCTTGGTCTAATCCTAACTCAGGCGCTAAAAACAATAATGATTTAAAAAAACTTAACATGGTAATCTGATAACTACTCTATAAGAATTGGTTTAGAAAAAACTTTAAGGAGCCATAAAAAGAGCAGGATTACAACAGCAAGTAAGACAGGATTAGTGAGTAACTACTTAAAAAGGTAATTTCTTGTACTCAAAATACTTGAACATAGCAAGCAAATAATGTAATAAAGAGCTGCAATCTATTTAAGCAGCTTTGCACTTCTCTGTGCAATAATTTGGTGACCACTGTCCTATATTAAATAATTTATTTGTTAACGCAGCTTTGGGTCATGGCTTTTACATGATCCCACTCACCTGAGTCCCCTTAACGTTGTTACTATTTGGGAAAATTTTTTGTAAGACTGGTCTAGGAGCCTCCTGTAGATGTTGCTGTGATGCTCTGTTGTCTGTGGGCTGGAACTGGAGTTTTCTTGCTCGAGGCTGTTGGCCTGGAGCTGGGAGAGTTGGAGACGCAGACAACTCAATGACATTGGTACTGGTCAAGGGAGGAGTTTTACACCGGTCTTTTCCTGGGAGCAGATTTAAAACCTGAAATGTAAAAATAAGGGGTACAAATGTAAAAAAGGGGTAAAAAAAAGTTATTTTTTAAGAACTACATTTGCTAAGGCATCTTATTGTTAACAGCATAACTAATTCAATCAAGTTCATTGAAATATAGTAACATTATTGGTTAGGGTGACTTTTTCATTTTCACTGTAACAAAATTTTAAAACAAATTGACACAATATCTGGCTTATTTTGAGAAAATGTTATACATTAGGCCAAAAAAGCTAAAAATTTTATTTTTTGAAAAGACTGAAGCTGTTATAAGTGTTGTTTGAACTGGTCAAGCTTAGTAGTTTCCCCTTGATCAAACCTAGTAGTTTCCCCTTGGTCAAGTTAGTTATTTCCTCGTGTCCTAGCCCTTGATTAAATAACTGTAAACAGAGTGCACAAAACTAACTTGCTGCAGTAGACCAGCAGGCGCAGTGTTGAGCAGATTTTCCAGTCCTGCTAGCTGATCTAAAGCCACTCCATTCTTCACCCCACCCCTCGTTGGCCGAGGAGGTGGCAGCTTGGCTGGAATAAAATTGTCGCTGGAGTCTGACATCCAGTCTGGCGCTGGCCGCGCATCATCACGCAGAATCTCCAGCTGGTCCTCATGAGAGCCTGGGTTACTGAACAGTTCAGAGTTGGTGTACCTGTCTTCATCATTTGGGTTGATCAACTTTGATGGATCAACGTACATCACAGGTTTAGGGAGCGAACTTTGACTCTGTTCCAAAAAATTATTATGATTAAATAAAGATGGTTACAATAAAACTAATGTGGTTAATAATAATACTTAAATATTTAAGCTCAAAAACAAAATTATACAGAACAGTAATGAAGAAAATAGTAAAATGTTCAATATACTGATTAAAAGACGAGTGGTTCTAATTGCACTTTACAAATAATTTTACTTGAAACTCTAATTAATGATTTAAGCTATTTTTAACAAAATGGTGAAGTTAATACGAACATTAAAATATGCTATCTGAAAATTTACATAAAACACCAGCAAAGCAATTATATATGTATTGAGTAAATTGCCCAACAGAAATGATTGAGTTTTAAAGTGAACTGACCTTTAATTATAATGCACCCCAAACTATCAACAAAAGACATTCAGTGAACAAACATTAACCCAACACTACCAACATAAAACCATCAAACTGACCTTCAATGTATCCTGCATAGACATGAGGCCACTGTCCATAGAAATGCCAGCAGCCTGAGAGAAATTAAAACCTGATTGGTTGATCTGTGTCCCATTAGGAGCACTACTTTTTGTTGGGGGTGTTAGTATTGGAGACTGTGAGCCAAGGCCACTGGGCTTTAGCACTGAAATAAAAAGTTTTAAAAGTTTATTGCTGTTACTTACTAAAATGTAAAAGCCAGTGATAGCATATCTTAAAAGTCAGATACTTTCCAGTTAGCTTAAATCAAAGAACAGTGAATCGTCTGTTGATTATGTTTACTGTTACATTAAATAAGATATTAGAAGTTGAGTTTAGGTATCATTGTCGGCAGAGTATCAAATCTGTTCATGGCTAATGGAAATAAAAGTTATAATTTATTTAATGCTACTAGTATTAAAGAAGATATAGTTAAATTTTACCATCATGGCGCTTTTTATACATGCTGGATTAAACAACTAACTATATTAAACCTGAATGGAAGAATGCAACACCTTTACTAAAAGTTACTGGTGCGACTCTCTGAGTAGCAATCAAAGTCTGAACTTTGCTTTGTTCCTCCTGCCAAGCTTGAAGCTGCTTCTGCTGGTGCTGCATCAGTTGCTCCTGCTGCTGTAGCTGCCACTGACGCAGCTCTTTAAAACGTTGAAGCAGACGTCCTTGTTCCTTCGCCTGATGCAACTCAAGTAGATCCAATGACCCATCTGTGGGAAATTAAATCATTAACTTTTTAATAAATTTACAAAAATGTCGTCTCACTTATCAGATGACTGACACACCAATTATACATCAAATCAAACAGTTTAAAAATTTAATTTTAATTCTAAAAAATGTTAAAAGGTATTAAAAAAATGAATTACACGCTATAACTTAATCTCGTCATAAGGTTATAAGTTGTTTGTTTTGGTAAGTAGTAAATCGCAAATCATATACATTCTAAACAATTCATAATAGCTTTACTCTTTAAATAAAAATCAAACACAAATAATTTACAACCAATGATAAAGCTTATTATAATTGTGTTGTCACTTCATGTATTTTGCCAAGTTTATAACTGTGTATGTTATTGTTATACATATAGATAGTGCTATTATGTTGCTAATAAATAATACCTTCAATGCCAGTGTCATCAGATGAATGCATAGTTATATACTGCCCCAGAAATTAATTTTATAAGACAAAAAGAAAACTACAGCTGCTTTTCAGAACTTTCTTTAACATTGGTCAAGGCTGATTCATGCTATAATAACCTAAAAAATAAAAATAAAAAACATTAGCAAAAGAAAACAGCTAGAATTGTTGTAAAAACTTAGTGAAAAGAAAACAAAAAAGGGATTGCAGTACAATAGTCCAGAATAACATTACTTAAAACTTCCAATAAAATTAATACTAACAGACACTAATCATGAACATACACAATCTATTTTCAATCATGGTCCTACTACTAGTTCTACTGTTAACTACAGCTCCACTCAACTACACTTTTATCCTATGATCTAGAAGCCTAGATCTAAGTCCTCTTACAAAATTACAAATATTAGGGCCTAGTCATGTCTAGGCCTAATTTTAATAATTTGATGCTCCAATCAAAACAAACACCACAAGAGACTAGATTCTTAGATCTAGTTAGATCTATAACTTCACAAAAGCCACTCACTCTCTTCTAAATCTAGAATCTAGGCCTACTTGGTAAATTTTATGTTATTAATTGTTAACTTGGGCTATACAATAAACTATAGATAGTAGATAGATTAGGCCTAGCCTTAAGACGAGAGCTAGACATATGGGCTAGATTTAGAATAGAAATGTTATTAGGCCTATTTTATTAAATTATGGTGAGGCGACATGTCGGACATGTCTCAGCTTGTTGTTTACACTTCACAACATACATAAAAAAGGTAATGTTATGAAAGTTTGAAGCATAATTTGAACTATAAGTAATGTTAACATAGAAGATGTGCATAAAATTCATGAATCCGTTCGTTTTCTTTAAAAACGTAGCGAGATATGATAAGAAAATTGTATTTTTACGATTTTACATGAACTAAGTTTGAGTTAAGCGGCCAAGAACGCCATATTTGTTTACTTATAATAACTTCCGCCAGATAACGTCTGTGCACGTACAATAAATAATGGTCCAAGTTAGTCGCTATTAAAAAGTCATACTACGTCAACATGTGATCTAATTTAAATTGTGGTATTCTGATTTATTTGATCTTTTTTTCTTTTATGCGTATCAGCACAAATGTTTGACATTGCTTGTATTAGGAAATTGTATATTATAGGCCCGTATAGATCTATAGATTACAAACTGTTAACTTTCAACTTTATTCAATAACGGTAACATTTTTTTTTGCGCTAATTAAGGTTATTGGGGTGGGGTTGTACTTTCTGTTGTTTTTTATTTTTATATTTGAAAATGGAAATGAATTTGAAAGCAGCAGATACATAATATCTAGTAATAAAAATAACAGATCTAAAAATAGCTTACAGTACTCTTAACAAAAAAAAAAAGGTCACGTGACTGTCATGTGATACACCAGTAAAGTCGGCAAATGCAAGTATTAAGTTTAATTTAAGTGTAGGTTGTTGACCAACATTTGCTTGTTTTAGTTGATATCTTTTATACGAAATAAATCAGCACATGAATAATATAAAAGCAGGTTGATCTAGATCTATATCTAAATATGATAGTACTTAGTATTGTAGCTTTTTTAATTATTAACGTTCATAATGTACGTTGTGGGGTCGGCATGTTGTATCCTCAAGATAGCGAAAGTAGACAGTCGAAGCTCTTGGATGGAATATGGCATTTTCGTGCTGACTTCTCGCCAACTAGAAACCAAGGTTTTGACGAAGAATGGTGGAAAAGACCTTTAGCAGAGGTAAGATTTTCGTTGATCTAGAAAAGGAAAAGATTTTCTTTTTAAGACTGAAAGCAACAACAAATCTAAACTTTCTAAACCATTCTTCTAATTCTAATCTAAACTATAGAATACTAGATCAGGGGTCTCCAAACTGCAGGCCGGATGCGGCCCTCGAGGTCCTCTCATCCGGCCCTCGGAGATCTTTTTGTCCACGGAAAAAAAAATGTTTGTTGGAGGTGGCTGAGAAAAAATTCAAATACAATTTGGGGGAGGGTGGGGTGGGGCCTCCGCCTCCCCGAAGAGATGCCTGGAAGAAACTCTGGCCCCCGAACTTATATTTGATAGTTAATGCGGCCCTCAGGCTGAAAAGTTTGGAGACCCCTGCTGTAGATAGTAGCGATAAACCAACTCACTCTAGATTCTAGATTGAAACAATTAGGCCCCTATAATAAAACATTATAGTATAGACCTAGTCACAATGGCTCAATGGATTCTACTCTACTGCTAGTTATATCCTTTGCTATCTCCATTATAACACTTTAACAGCTGCACCATTACTTTTAATAAGTACTAAGCAATTAATGAAAATTCTTATCTAATGAGAACAGATTTCATTATTTCTATTGATCCTCAGTCAGGGCCTGTGATTGACATGCCAGTTCCTTCAAGCTTCAATGATGTAACCGAAGACAAATCTTTGCGTGACTTCGTTGGATGGGCGTGGTATGAACGGAGCTTTTTCATCTCATCAGACTGGGCTGCAAATAAGCGAGTGGTTCTTAGGTTTGACAGTGCTCATTACTACTCAACAGTCGTGAGTTGGCTTTTTAATTTCTTGTTTACTATTAGGTCTATATAAACTAGTTGCATGATGATATTTATTAATGCAGACTAGACCAGGTCTCAACCAGTTTATTAAATCTTTAACATATTCCTTTATCAGTTGTAAAATTGATTCTGAAGTTGCCAGTACTTTGGTCCTTTAGTTACAGTTGATTATCAAAATTATAAATAGATAGTGGTTTTATCTATTGGTTTCACTATCTTTCAAAAGGCTATAATTTTAGATATCTACTATGTTTACCTGTATATCAGTGCTGATGTTGCATAAAACAATGAATACAACTATAAGCTTGTTTGGGTTCATTTAATTTTGAATAATAAAGCCTTGATTGAATTGGTTGAATTTCTTATAGTTATTAGCGATTGATTTAATACAATACATGCATAACTAGCAAAATATAAACACACATTTTTTAAACACTAAGAAGTATGTTATTTCTTTGTGGGATTATAGAGAAGCGGGGGTTGAGAAAATAATATAAAATAGCGTGGGTTACAAAACATGTACAATTTATTTCAGTGGATCAATGGCATTGAAGTTATGTCTCATAATGGGGGTCACCTCCCCTTTGAATCAGAGGTCCAAGCCCTTGTGAGCTTTGACAAGCCTAACCGTGTCACTGTTGCAGTCAACAATACTCTCTCACCCACCACTTTACCACCAGGGACCATCCAGTACCAGACTGACACAACAAGGTAAACTTCATACCTAAACTTCAGGTATGAACTCTTAGTGCTTGTATTTATTACCTGCTGTAACACTATTGTCTACTGACAGTTTATTTTAACTTTAGGCACTAAGAAGTTTGTAATGATACTGATATTCCTAAGCTATTATAAGATTCTTGTAAAAATCTAATTATAGTATTAAAAAAGGTTGCAAAATAATTATGGTACAATTTTATCAAGATAGAGTTTTTTTAATGCAACATGGTGCAGGTACTTACAACTTTTAATCACAATTAGCTTGAACCTAATAATCTCTGATAAGTACTGGAGTTGTTTTTTTTTTTTTATAAATCATGACTGGAAGGTCAGACCTTAAATACATGTTAGAATATCATCCTTTCTTTACAATGTTTAATATCAACTATTTTCTGTTTCAAATTTTTATAAGCAAATTTATACTCCAGTTTATATTTGTATATTTAAGATTTTATCTGTATACTAAGAATTTTGTTTTCTCTTCTACAACTTTTTTATTTTTTTTAGATATCCACCAGGATATTTCGTACAAAATCTTCAAATGGATTTTTTCAACTATGCAGGCATCCACCGTCATGTTCGTCTCTACACCACACCTCTTGTCTATGTTGATGATATAACAATACTGACAGATGTACAGAGTGGAAATGGTAATCAATTATGTCATTAGGCTTGATAACACTACAAAATTGACGCTGTACAAAATAACAATGTAGGAAGACTTGAGCTATGATTGTATGAATAACAAACTATTCAGTAACCAAACATAAAAATTAGTGTAGTCATATTTAACTTGAATGAACTAAATTTGTAACAAAAAAAATTAGTTAAATGTATTAACCCAAAAAGTAGTGGTGATATAAAATAATGTAATTTTAAAACAAAAATGTAACTCATAAAAGACTGTTCACTTCATAGTGTATTATAATATATTTCTTTGTTGTAACTGTAAGTTATATTTTGTTATGCTCATAAAACATCATTCTGAACAGTTTGGGTAGTGAGATTAAAATAACTGTTGTTTCAAGTCAAACAGATTGAGATAATTTTGTGTCCACAGCACTGGTCAGCTACCAGGTTGAAGTAGCTGGGGGAGCACCCACTGCCGTAGACATCACAGCTTATGATGCCACTAACAGAGTGGTCGCTCACAGCTCCAAGCTTATAGACAGCCTGGTCATACAGTCCCCCACTTTGTGGTGGCCTTATGGGATGAATGAAACTGTTGGTTACAGGTACATTCTACAGGTAAGGGAATTAACTCTTGATAGAAACTAAAATGTTTAATTGAAGAGTTATCCTGGTATGCCTGTTTCATTTTTCAAAGCAAGTTTGTAAGGAAAATTTAAGTTATTTGTCTTGTTTTGTTAGTAAATTATGGCCCTCTTAGCTTGAAAATAGATATGTAACCTTGTAAGATTGGAAGTGCTGAATTTAGAGCATAGGTTAAAAATTTATTTTCTAAAGCTTATAAGATTTAAATTTTAGCAAACAAAAATATTTTTTTAGCAGAAATGATTTCTAAGAAAAAGATTCCTCAAAAAAAAAGAAAAAATATAACTGTTTTAGTGAATATGTATAAATAATTTTTTTTAAGCATAATGGGTTAGCTTTTATCTCCAGGCTAATTAAATTAGTCAATCATCTAATAATAGCTTTGCTAATCTCTCAAGTTCAATTGAGAGCATTTTTAGTTTATTTTTAATATCTTAAGTCTTAAAATAATACAATAAAACAAGTAACAACACTTTTAATCTATTTTATTTATTCAGTTGACTTATATTGTCAGGTAAATATTTCTGGGGATGTATACAGACAATACTTTGGCATACGAACATTGAAAGTAACAGAAAACCAGTTTTTGATCAACGACAAACCATTTTATTGTCATGGAGTTGCCAAACATGAAGATTCAGATGTGAGTACACAAGTAAACTTAAAGTTACTCACTATTATTTTCTATAAGGGGAGTGTGGACCAACACTGTAATGTAGTTTTGACTGACTTTCTACTATAGAACCCAAATAATAAAACTCATTGACTTCATCAAGTTCCCTGTAAATATCTGGAAATTAAACCTGATAGTCCTCTGGACAGGTGAAGTAGAATTCACCTGTTTCATTAACCTCAGCATATGAAGGGATATTGTGGTCAGCACTATGCCCCAGAAATTTCAACACCATTAGAAAAAATATTATATTCTCCAGCCATTTTATTGTTGCAATTATTAAGTTTTGTTTATCAAAGATTAAAACTATTTTTTTATCAAATGACCACTGCAAAAGTAAAAATATCTTCTAATTTAATTGTCGAATTTAGCAAAAACTTCAACACATAAAATCCATTGGAGAGTAAACAAAACAAACATCTGCACATTCTTTACAACAGTTATAAAAATGTTGTTTCCTCTATCCAGCTACGTGGAAAAGGCCTTGACTACACACTGATCACAAAGGACTTTAACCTCCTGAGGTGGCTGGGTGTGAACTGTATCAGGACATCCCACTACCCCTACGCTGAGGAAATCATGGACTTTGCTGACAGGCAGGGCGTGGCAGTCATTGATGAGAGCCCAGGGGTGGGAATAAAGAATGAGTATGTTTTTTTTTTAATTAGTATAAAATGTTGCCTGGTAAATGGGTGGTAACACTAGACCTATTTCTGAGCATCACTATGTAAACTGTATTACATCTGTGTAAAACATGGACCAACCACTGTGTAAACATGTCCCTGTGTAAAACATAGGTTTGTGTAAAGTATACTCCACCATGTCCCTGTGTAAAACACTACTACTGTATAAACTTTTTCTTTGTAAACTCTCTCAGTGCGTACACTGTTTTATAGCCCTATGTACACCATGCAAACAGGTTGATCTGAGGGTAGAGTTCTAATTTGAATCTCATGCTCAAGTCTATAAGACATGTCTGAGTCCACCCACACTATCCTCTCATATCTTGAGGTTATTGAAACAGATTAACTCTGCTTCACCTGTCTTGGGCAGGAAGAGAACAAGATGATAATGATGTACACCATAATTATTGTATCCCCATGTAAACTATACCCCTGCCCTCCCCAGCGACAACATGGGCAATGAATCAGTGACTCACCACAAGGAGGTCATGTCTGAGATGATCAGAAGAGATAAAAACAAACCTTCGGTCATCATGTGGTCAGTGGCCAATGAACCAGACACATCCAGGAGAGCATCTGTGCCATACTTTAAGTAAGTTTTAGATTTTTTTTTAAAGTTAATTTGATCACTTGAATATACTTAAAAGTAAAACAATTTATTTTGTGTAAATTTCTAAGTGTCAGTTTTACTGATATAAAAACAGAACTCTCTCTTCTTAGAAGAAGTGAAAATTGCTCTAACAATAAAATAAATAATATAACAAATAATTTTCTAAACTTTTCATATTTATAGGTTATTTATTTTTAGCACTTTTTCTGCAGTTTTTGTTTCATCAACTTAGAAAGCTTTTTAAAACTCTTCTTATGTGGTATCTTTAATGTTTTAGACATCATGTTTTCTCATTATAAATTCTTCTGACTACTGCATATGTTTTGATGCTAATCAGTCCATGTCTGTCCTAGGGCTGTGATTGACCACACCAGAATTACAGACCCTGCTCATCGTCCAGTTACCTTTGTGTGTGACCAGACCTTCACCAATGATCTTGTGGTCAGTTGACTTTAAATGTTCACCTTGATCCTTACTGTAGAGATGATGGAGTCTACATTGTCATTGTTGAAAGAGTTTCAATAACTATAATTTACTTTTAAAACTGTATGCATGGTCTGATGGTAGAGCATACTTCTGTTAACCCGAAAGTCTCCAGTTTAAATCCCTGGTTCAAGTTCACAGAACATCCCTGAGTCCACCCAGCTCTGATGGGTACCTGAGTCACGTTAGGGAAAGTAAAGTCCGCTGGGCATAGTGCTGAGCACACTATCTCTTCATATGCTGAGTTCACTAAAACAGGCCAACTCTACTTCACATAACAAATGGACTGTCAGGTTAGAAAGGGCACTTAACTTACTTTACACTGTGCAGAAGGTAATCCTGAATGGTTATTTGTTTACACCTGTATCTAAGGGGACTAATTGGTGAATTGCAGGTACCATTTGTTGATGTCATCTGTCTGAACCGGTACTTTGGCTGGTACCAGGACACGGGTCACCTGGAGGTCATCCAAAGACAGCTCCAAACCTACTTTGCTGGCTTCAGAAATTTGTACAAGAAACCCATCATCATGACAGAGTATGGTGCAGACACTATACCAGGACTGCACAGGGTTAGGGAACTTGTGTTTCTTTTAGTTATTCAATTTTTTTTTTTTTAAAGTAAACTTTTAAAGTTAATTCTTTTTTTTTTTTTTTAAATCCCTTTTCAATTATAGATACTATAGATTAAACAAGAGCAAAGTATAAAATTATATATAAGATTAATGTCAGTAAATGTATGCCCCAAAATACAAATAATTGAAACAGTGTTCTAGAGTACTTGATTCCTAGCTGAAAAGATTTGAGTTCTGTTCTCATCTGATCTTGCAATAACTTTGTATCTAAACGCACTACAAACTGACTATCTTAGCTTGATTAAGACTGTAATATTACTTGCTCTCATCTATTGTGTAGCTATTTAGAAAATTTAATTGATCTGCAGGAGCCATCATTTGTGTTCACTGAGGAATATCAGGTGGAGTTCCTAGAGGAGTATCACAGGGTGTTTGATGTGGCCAAACAGGAGTATCTGGTTGGTGAAATGGTCTGGAACTTTGCAGATTTTATGACGCCAGACGGTAAATTTAAACACCTAGCTGTCAGGTGTATTTTTTTTTTGGGTTAAAATTATTCAATTTTATTGCTGAACATAGGTTATATTTTGTAAATTGTCCAGTACATTTTTTCTTTTGCATTTGTTCTTCTTCGTTCTTAATTGTAGTGTTGGTCGAGGTTCACTCCAACACAGTCAAGTATGTCTTACACTGTCACAGTGTTTTGAGCATAATTAATTAATAAATGTTATGGCATAAGGTCTGTTGATTCTGATTTCAGTCCTGTTCTTTCTGGAGTAGCTTCCATAACATTTGTTCCACTAAACAAACATCAAGGCAGCAGTTGTTTGATTTAGCAGTTGCTGATTTGTTTTTATTGTTTAATATGTAGTGTGAAATTTCTCACAAAAGTGAATTTTTTATTTATGAAAAAAAAATTTCTGTTCACAAACTTGGGTGAGAAGTTTTGTTTTTGTCTAGTAAATGAATTTTTTTTATATATTTTGGCTTATATCGTTTTTTGCTTTATCTGGCAGGAACAACTCGAGTGGTGGGCAACAAAAAAGGTTTGCTAACAAGACAGAGGCAGCCAAAGCGGGCAGCTTTTGTCATCAGGGATCGCTACAATGCTTTTGTCAATGGAACAGCTGGCTCCTGCCCGTGTAGCTCCCACAACAAGTACTCATCCACACCCCACACATATTATAACAATCAGCCGGATGTCATCATTGGGAAATGATTGGTTGTTGTATCAGATGTGTGCATATTCAGAGCAGTCTTGTGGTTGCTTGATGCTTAAAGTATTATTTGTATAAAGGGTTTGATAACTTTATAAAAGTTAAATTAGGCCTAATAGGCTTGAAATGTATAAAAGTTTGTTATGATTTTAAGGTTTTTTTATTGATTTAATGAAATTGTAACAATCATTAACTAACAAACCTTTCTCGTTTCTGTCTGGCAATTTACTTGCAAATTTTATAACTCATAACATCAATTTCAAAGCTATCAATGTATTATTAATTACAAAATTGTTTTTAGCCTAAATTCTTCCATACCGAGTTTCTTCCAGATATATCTTTGGGGGAAAATGTCTGGAACAAACACTGCTTTCATATCTTTCTCAACTATTTTAATACTCATATCCAAAATAACTTTGCTCTTTTATCTTTTCTGGTTTATCAGAGTTCAATTTATATCTACTTATTCTTCCTACAGTTCATGCAATGTTCTTATTTTTAGTTGACTATACTTATCACTGTAATGATGATTTTAAACTGTTTATATAACTATATTCTACCCATGTCTGTGCCTTATATGTAAATATATGGTTTACTGCATAATATTTAAATCAATATTTTTTGCATTTTTATAAAAATATTATCACTGTTATCTTCACTGTTTTAATAATTGAAGTTATAGTTAATTTCTTTTTTAAATCTTTTAAAGTTGTGTCTATATTAATTGTTATAACCGGTTAAAGTGCAATGCCCATGATTAAATAAGCTCGTATACTTCAAGAGAAGTAACCCATCATTGGTCTTCCACCATTTTGTATTTACTACTGCTTTTTGAAAGTAAAAGTACTTTGGTAAACAAAGCAAGTTCACTATTTTTAGAGTAAGTTTTTAGTTTCTAAATAATTCAAGTTAGTCTGTTAAGTGTCTTTTTTTTAAGTATTTATGTTCAAAAATTACATTGTTTATGTTGTTTATTTTTTACTTTTAAAACCACCAATTAAGTAAATTTTTAGGAGGCTGTTTACTTTTGCTTCAACTAAAACATTCCACTTTACTAGATGGTTAATGCTGAAAAGGCCTTCTGATAATATTTATTGACCGTACTTCCAGGATTTTACCATTTTTTGTTACAAACTAGTGTCCAGATCCTAAGCTTTACCTTAATCCTACCTTAAAACTGGTGCTGACCAAAAAAAATTAACCCCATACTTGACCATTGAAGATTACAATTTTGTATGCTTTTAATGTTCATAAATATAAATTAAAATTCTAAAGTGATTATCCTGAATTTGTTCTGTTTATCAAATAAGAGAATAATGTTTTTCTTAATTATAAATATGATATTGTTAATGTTTTTCAGTTCTGTTCAAGTACTATAAAATTAGTACTTGTTATAACAAAATAATTTTGATAATTGACATATTCAAATTATGACTGATTAGCTATTGAATTATTTGCACCCTATTATTTTGATTTTTGTACGAATAATAAATCATACAACATCCCATATTGTTTAATTAGTTTTGTATGTTTGTAAAATTAAATGTTAGTATACTTTTATTATTTACCCTGTTGCTTTCTATTTTTATTAATGCTGTTCTAATTGAAATCTTGACAGGTGAAGCAGTGTCCTTTATACAAGCATTTTCTTAGGTTATGATGTTTTATCAATTCCTGCTATACAGTTGTTATGATTTCAAAAATAGCCATTTCATCTACATATTGTGCATCTCTGTTGACAACACAAGAATGTTTCTTTTTCATTCTAAATAGATTCAGTAAGGCATTAATTTGAAGATGCCCCCCTTCCTCCCATCCCCACACTGGACAAATAGAAAATTATCAAAAAAATATGGACAAATAGAAAATTATAAAAAATATGGACAAATAGAATATTATCAAAAAAATATGGACAAATAGAAAATTATAAAAAATATGGACAGATAGAAAATTATCAAAAGATATGGACAAATAGAAAATTATTAAAAATATGGGCAAATAGAAAATTACCAAAAGATATGGATAAATAGAAAATTATCAAAAGATATGGACAAATAGAAAATTATAAAAAAATATGGACAAATAGAAAATTATCAAAAAATATGGACAAATAGAAAATTATAAAAAAAAATATGGACAAATAGAAAATTATCAAAAAAATATGGACAAATAGAACATTTTTTAAAAAATATACTTTGACAATTCTTCGTATAATGCCACCCCCCCCCCCCCCCACCGATTACTCTGTTCTACAACAAAAGGGAGATAACTAGTTAACTGCGATGACCCAATCAGTCACGTGAGCTGATGTTTACCTTCACGTCCCATGTTGTTTACAAACCTTACGGCAGCGACACACGTTAATAAGGGGCAGATCACACTGTAACTTTTTTTTTTACAACAGGTGGCATGTATTTGTGACATACACAGAAATTTTGGAATTTTAGAACCCACCCTCCCAAAGTGAAGGTTTTAAAATTAGCCTATAGAAAGCAATGACTGCACCTCCCCAACACCACTCGTATCTCATATAGAATATAGATTCTTTTAAAACGACATGGGGGGGGTATAAGGGAGGTATTGTGTCGGTCTACAGCCCTGAACAATTATATATATATATATATATATATATATATATATATATATATATATATATATTTATATAGGACCTATATATATATAATGTCGAATCTCTGGAACTTACACCCCCGCCCCTTCTCCCCCCCCCCCCCCCACCAAACTCAATCTAATTCATAACCCCGTCTCCTGTTTACTGATGGTATTGACATCGCCTTAGCCCTGGGCTGTAGCTAATTAATTCTCCACTAACAAGTCGACATACGACGAGAAGGCAACTCTCTCAACAAAGATTTTATCAGTCCACATGCTGATATTAGGGCCTAAATTTTCTTTCAAATTAAGTCTAGTTAGGACTAATTTTTTTTAAATAGAAAAATTCATCACTACCAATTATTTCATACACAGATATTAACTAACTGCTAAATGAATAAATTTCTTTATGAGCATCTTCTATATATATAATTCTCCTCTTCGAGCCGTTAGAAAACAAGCTGCAAACGCTCTCCCTACCTCCCCACCCCTACATGGTTTTAGTGAGCTGTGTTCACTCTAAATGTTTACAAGCAGAGCCAACGATTTTAAACGTAGGGGGGGGGGGGAGGAAGGGGGGGGGGGGTTATGGTCCTTAACGAGCTACTTATAGTGTTTTAAAGAAATATTTTCAGTGTCAGCGTTGGTACTGTCGAATTCACAAATTATGAATTATTGAAAATTAGAAACAACTAAATAGCGGCGTAAGTTATGCCGCGGGCCGGCTCGTTTATTTAATTTTAAGTACAGAGGGTAGTTTTTGTTTATTTGAGCAAAAATTTGACAAAAAGCTACTGTTTAAAAAAAAATCAGGACCACGTGACCTAATTTCTGTGTGGTCTCTGGGGGTAAAGTGCAGTCTTTGAGACAGAAATAAACGTGAAAATTTTTAAAACATTGATTGAAGGACGCACGAACTGAAAGACCGGTTACTGTTAAAGGATTGAGCACGATTTTGTGGGGAGTTCTTGGCAGGCGGAAGTTCTCGTTTCCTCAGCACGTGACCCTAATAAAAGAAACAAGTCCAAAACGAGGCTAAGCGTATTTTGTTTACTGTGTGTTGAATTACATTCAGACAAATAGCTTTGGTGCCATCCAACAGCCCTATACACCGGATGCTGCAAGGGTTAGAGTTTCGTTTTTAAATGCTTCTTTTAAAAAAAAAGATGGTTCAGTTGTTTTGACTGAAATTTAAAAACAACTTTTTCACTAGATCCAATAGCTCTTTTGTATCTTTAGGAATATACGCATAATTTTTTTATTCGTTTTTTTTTTAAATACAATTAAACCTGAAGGGGGCAGTAACACTCCGACAATGGAAAATTGACCAAAAAATGTGCCCAAAAAAAACTTATACATACACACATAAATTTTTTACCATAATAGTTACTATCAAGGAGCTATAAAACAGCACATAAAAGAAAGTCAATGTATGATACAAACATTTTTTTATAAATAATTTACCCCAAAAAATTAATCAAAAATTGTCCAACATGCAGGCCCTTCATGGTGAAAATTCTCAAGAATGTGCATAACACGGTAGCCTACTGTTGGAACAAGAAGTAATTTATTTCGACAATCTATCTATATATATAATTCTCCTCTTCGAGCCGTTAGAAAACAAGCTGCAAACGCTCTCCCTACCTCCCCACCCCTACATGGTTTTAGTGAGCTGTGTTCACTCTAAATGTTTACAAGCAGAGCCAACGATTTTAAACGTAGGGGGGGGGGGGGGGGGGGGGGAGGAAGGGGGGGGGTTATGGTCCTTAACGAGCTACTTATAGTGTTTTAAAGAAATATTTTCAGTGTCAGCGTTGGTACTGTCGAATTCACAAATTATGAATTATTGAAAATTAGAAACAACTAAATAGCGGCGTATGTTATGCCGCGGGCCGGCTCGTTTTTAATATTTTTTTAGAAATATTTGAAGTCACGCCAACCTGAAGGTACTTTTAAAATTTTCTAAAAAATTCAACTCGCATGTATGCACAACGACTACAGCAACAATTGTTAGTCACGGAAGGAAGCTTTATACCAAATTTTAAGAACTTGCTTATGGTTTTGTAATATTGTTTACAAAAAATGTAGGAATGTAATAGAATATAACCAAATTAATGTTTAGAAAACATTTTGTTATATATATACTCCACAAATGTTATGCTGTATTATAGCTGAATCAGTGTTACTACCAATGTAAAATTTTGACATGTGTATGTCTAATAGTTTGTTTCTGGTGAATATTTTTGTTTCTCTCCCTTAGTCTGGGTGATACTGCCCCCCCCCTAAGGGGTCATCCATAAATGAGGTCACGTTTTTTTGGGACAATTTTAGCCCCCCCCCCCCCTTTTTCCTCCGTCACACATCGTTACAAAAAAGCCAGCCCCCCCCCCCCCCCCACCCTAAAATGACGTCACACCTCAGCCGACAAACCCCCCCTCAACTGCTGTTGAATTTTTCTTAAAATACGATATTTTTTCCAAAATCTTGTCTGAACTCTGTCAACATAGAGCAGTGGTTCCCAACCTTTTTTGAGTGGCGACCCCCTTTTATAAAAAGTAAGTGACCCGCGACCCCCATAGAATTAAAAAGCCGAAATTAGTATGGAGATTAATAAGCACTAAAATAAGATTTTCTAGTAGACTTTCAATATGAACTACTCTTGATAACTATTTTAATAGCATGAGTAAAATTTCATACTATTCACTAAACCTTCGTGGTTAAGTTTTTAATTATTATTTTTTTTTGTTAACGCCAGCCTATGTCGTTATAATTATCTTAATTTTGTTTTTAATCGAAGCATAGTGTTGAAAATATATTCTCGAAAAGTCAATCAATTTTACGTTTGCATATGAATGGTGAATACTACACCAAAATTGTGTCTGCAGTTTTTCATCTTACTCGGAATCATTCGGCAAATCTTGTAATTCATCGGGAATGCTGGCAACATCAAGGGAAGAAGAGAATGGGTAATGCGTAAATGCAGATTCTTCTTTTTTCAGCTCAGAGAAATAGCGATGCAGTTCGTTTTCAAGAGATTCAAGATGCCCAGAAATCGCTTCTTTCAAAATTTTAAAATTATCTCACAATCAGATTCATCTACCACACCGCCGAGTTTCTCAAATTTACAATATTTCCAAGATTTATTTTCTTTACCGATTTTGCAGCTTTGATAAAAATGCCCCGAGATTATCATGGAAAGTTATAATATTCGTTCATTTTCCCTGAAGCTTCAGGTTAAGCTTATCTTGATGTTAGGTACGCTACTCTCTCCAACCACTCTATGTCGTTTTAAGTATTCCAAAAAGTCTTGTTTCCTTTGCACCTCCAAGAACAATTTGATTTCAGATTTCAATTCAAAAACACAATTTACAACATTTCGTTTGACAGCCAGCGTACTGTAGTGTAGAAGAGCAGAACCTCGTGATCTATATTAATGTTTTTGCTCAGTTCTTTGAAGGCTCCAGATTTTATATAATTTACGACTTATACTAGCAATGGACTCTTGATGTCGATTGGTTAGGGCAGTGGTTAGGGAGCTAAATCTTTTCTGTTTTCTGAAAGCCCGATTTTGAACAAAACATAGATGGCGCACCATCCGTAAAAACCCCACAGCCGTTCTAACCCATTTTAATCATCCAGTTTCAAAAAAGGTATTTATTTTCTCCATGCTATCTTCACAAAAGAACAACTCTTCTTTGCTATCATCTGCATGAATATAGACACAGACCAGCAACTGCGAACACGAATTCACGTCTGTTGATTTATCAACTTGAAAAGCAAAGAAAGGTGAAAGCTTAATTTTGATTAAAATGTGTTATTTAACATTTACGTACATGCAGCGTTTAATGAGATTTTCTCCTATTGTTTTTTTTTTTGCTTGGCATTGTCTATCGCGAA